GCATTTAACCCTGCCGTGGTATCACTAATTTCAGAAAATTTTTATCGGCAGAAAAATGTCGTTAGGAAAAACCAAACTACAGGTTTTTCCACAGATTCAAGAAAAAATCTCACAATTCTGGGGAAAGGCTGAACTTTTAATTCGTAAACTGTTATAATAAACTGTAATATCTTCTCCTTTATATATTTCATAATTACGGACACTAATAAAATAATAATGCCATAACTATGGGCAAGTTACGTCGATGAAAAGGAGAAATTATTATTATTTTTTTTTTTTTTTTTTTTTTTTTTTTTTTTTTTTTTTTTTTTTTTTTTTTTTAAGTTCAAAATTAAGAAACGTGGTTTTCAAAATGGATTCAATCACAGTCTGACGATCAAGGTGGAATTTCTAGTTTTTCTCTCGGCAAGACAACCCGGTGGTTTATCTTCGCTGGTGGCCACTAATCAGGCCGTCGTTCGTTTCTACAAATAGGCAAATAATGTCGCCCGGTGAAACGCAAAAGCTATATTTGCCGATGGAGAAAGCAGTTTTTGTGCAGTACCGCACCCATTGGTGTATAGAAATCTCGTGGTGGGCTATTAGTTTTCTACCGTCAATTTTCTCCAGAGAAATCTTTACAAACAAATAAACATTTAAAATTCTATAAAGTTTCATTCATGAACGTTTATTTTGACCAGTAGACCTAATGTGATTTAGAATCATTTAACAGTAAAAGAATTACAATATAAAGCAATATTTCTGCGTCTGATTTCCCACCGAAATTATTTTACCATTCACTAGTTTTCGTGGTCCGCTTGACCGATTAATATGTGTCAATTAATTAAGGTTTTTAGTTGAGATAAAAAGTCAGTGTCACGAGCGGGATTCGAACCCACGACCTTCGGCTATATACGCCGCTGCTCTACCACTTGAGCTATCGTGAATTCGATCCACTCGGACACTTCCCGTCTTATTATTTTACAATGTTTTTTTGTGATGCGTTTTGCTTGAAGATCGGCTGAAGCTCAAAATTGCACTCAAATTTTCTGACATCAAATTTACACGATTTGATTTACGTTAAAACCACAATTTCTACATCCCTCTCAATTTTTCCTAATAGTTTATTATTTAATTGATAATAAGTATAAATGATGATAATAATAATACCAAGTATAAACTTCCGTTATGTATTAACCGGGGTTTATTTAGATAATTAGTAAAGGAAACAAATATTTGGCTTAGCTTAATAAAACATTTCCTGCTGTAACTCCTCTCCTGTTGTTCCATCCTTATAGTCTTAGTTTTGTTTGATGTATTGAACTTTCGATTCTTCTTTTAGGAAAAATGTTGATTTAATTTTCAAATAATTTAGACGTAAATTAACAACCGGAAAGCCTTACATTCTCCGAAGTAGCTTTGTCGCAAACTTACTTTTTTTAATACAAGGTAAGTAAATAGTAAGGAGCGGTCTGGTTAGATGTATTTCAGAAAAACATCTTTTTCGTTTTACTGCCGACTTTTCGACCATAATTCGGTCATCTTCAAGGCTTAAAATGTAGTGCTATTCTTGTATGTCATGTTTGTTTAGTGTACGTGTGGTGAAATTGTTGTACCGTCTTAGCCTTCTTCAATATACTGTTCCTGCGCCGTTGCCGGCATTTTACAGTTGAAATTGTTGTACCTTGAAGATGACCCGAACGAAGTTTAAAACGTCGGCCATACAATGAAAAAGGTATTTTTCTGAAATACATCTAACTTGAGCGCTCCTCACTACGTCAACCATTTATTGAACCACCGGTTGCTAAACAATACACTTCATTTTAAGGTGCCCCTACACTATCAAGCGGCTTGATGAAATGCTTGAGTAAATCGATTGTATATATTTTCAGTGTAGAAACCTGATTGACGCTTGAAGCAAGCATTGACGGTGATTGATAGGAAGTTGAATGACTCAAGCAGATGATCAAGCGGCTTGATAGTGTAGGGCAATTTTCATCAAGCATTGCATCAGTCACTCGGTGGAAGTCATGGCGTCCTCTACCGAAACCGCGCTTCTCGAAAACTTGGAGCGGGAGTTCATCAATTTGTTGAGAGATTTATATCGTGATTGTCCCGAATTGTGGAAAGTAAATAGTAAAGATTATTTCAATAGAAATAAAAAAAGTTCCTTTTGCTGTTTTTTCTGCTTCAGGGCAACCAATGTTAAGACTAGGAAGCCCAAATCTGTATTTGACTCCATTCAGCACCGAAACAAAACAAAAGATCAAACAGCGAAACGCACTGCTCCACTTCACGGCTTCCACTTATGAGGGTCGAGGGAGTTTTGACCGAAAGATTGAAGGGTTGATTGAAGCACGCTTGAAGCTCCCATCAATCGGAGGTTCAAGCATTTGATCAAGCCGCTTGATAGTGTAGGGGCACCTTTACAGTGAAATCTCCGGTATGGGTATCCTCTGTTCAGGGAAACCTCCTTTTACAGGACAGTTGTAGATGCACCGGCATAGAAATTTCACTTTCTGTGTACTAAACACCTCTACCTACAGGACACTGTCGTGTTGTCTTAAGTCAATCGTCTTACAATCTTTAATGGTGCAGAAAACCTCTGAGTAGGGGACAGGACAGATTGTTTGCCTTTTTCTTAGGTAGCATAACGATCTCAGTGTTAATACGACTTTAATCCGATTATGTTTACAATTATTGATTCATTGTTTTATCCAAACTTTTAATGTTAACAAGGCTCCGGCCAAGCAAAGTTGACGTTAAAGGTTTGATTCTTTCGAAGGAGGCCTAGAGTAAAAACATTAGCTATAAAACTAAAGCTTAACAAAGTGTTAAGAGGTAAAATTTTAAAAGATCGTAAATTCAACGAAAACATATACATATCTAAACCTACACCTCACATATAGTATTTCTACATATACATCTGTACCAAGACATATAAAACCTCCCTAAACAGTACAAAAGTATATACCATGGTTGTCCGTTAATAACAAGGTTTCACTCTACCTAATTTTTTTTTTGAATAATTATAAGGCATTGTTTTGTTCAAACCTACTAAAAAAACTTTACTTACTGTACTTTCAAAGGACAGTAGAAACTCGTGTTTCGCACTCGCATATTTTCTCCGCTTTATGGGAAAAGATCGAATCATGGATATCTAACCAATACCATCCCTAACGTGAACTTAACCTAACCAGTTCATAACACTAACCCCCATCTGTACTTCACATCAATCTAAACCGTCCTTAACGCTATCCCTACGCTAACCTATCCCAAACCGTCCCTAACAGCAACCTATTTCTAACGTAACCTCAACCTAATCCTAACTTAACCAAACGCCCTTCAGTAACGTTACTCGATGTCGCCAAAATTGTCACGCAAAATTAATTTGTGCTTCCAGGCCAAAAACACGGTCATGTTAAATTTTCCTAATTTTAATTAAACAAATCTATTTCCATTATTACTTAGGAACAATTTATAAGGAAACTAAATTATGTTTTAATCATCATTGCTGAATTATAATCCGTGCTAGCGCGCTCGCTATTGTATTGCGTAATGTGAAACAATAAAATATTTTGTTCATTACAATTTCCTCTTTCTCTTCCTCTCTTTTTATATCTCTAAGATTAGCGTTGACATTTGTTTATTGATTTTTGCATATGCATTATGCATTTTCGTCCATTTCATCTAGAATCATACTCCAATGAACTTCCAGCTTTTCCAGAAGGCCTGTGGAATATTCCGAAAATCATAGGCAAAAAACGATAAGTAAATCTCAAAACTAATTTTGACGATCCCATATTTTTTTATAAGTTCAAAATTTTAACACCAAACCCGGATATTTTGTTTATTGTTTATTCTTTAATTAGAAAAACTGTTGATGTAGAAATTTTCTAATTATATCCATCGTATAACGTATTGGAATAACAGTATATATTTTCAAAAATAATGCTAACTGTAATGCAACAAATAGATTTACGATAAAGGTGAATATAATTTAATACAAAATTGCATTTATATCATGAAGTATTTATTTATTATCTTGTTTCTTATAGTAATTAATTCATTATTGTTATGAATAGTTTGTTTTACTGGCGAGAGTATGTTTTATTTGTAAATTGTCTATAAAATATTGACTGTAAAGTAAAGTACAGCATAAATGTTTGTTAATTATTTACAATTTCGCAAAAAATAAAAACGTGCTGCTTCTTGCTTATTCAACGACAAGTTATTGTGCTTCTAGCGCTCAAGTTCTCACCCACTTTGATGGGTCAAGAGCACTTTAACAAGAGCGTTATACAATGCAATAAGAACCTGATTTATTAATCGGGGCGTTTAAAAAACAAAAAGTAGGAAACACGGCATAACCCACATTATTGTCTCTGAGAGTCTGATCACGTAGTTGAAACTTAAAACGACGCCGAGGCATTAACCGTACGTGCATCAATGTGTGCCGCGAGCAATGCCCTTGTTTTAACATGCACCGCGGACTTCTTGTCGGTTGCTTCTTGTCCGTTCTGAAAACCCAGAAGTTGCGACCTTTTGTAACATGTGAGATCAACAGGCACTGTGTCGACATGTGCCGTTCCCTTGATATCGACCTTTGAACCTTTTATTTCCTTGGCCCCGTAACTGTAAAAGGAAAGTCCTGACTTCTTTTATTTGTGATGCAAGTTTTCAACTTTCATCCAGATTGTTCCAGAGCGAATTGCTTCTTGTAGTCTGGAAGCCACAAACGCAAATGCAATTTATCGCCTCTTACCTTGTAACAACTAAGGGATGAAAAGAGAAACCAACTATTCTTTAAAAAAAAATAAATAAACCGAATATTCTAAATCTCTTGATGGTTAGAGAAGAGTCTGATGTATAAGTAATAGAACCCTTCAATATAAAAAAAGATCAGTGATAAGTTGGAAAAAAAATCAGTTTATTCGTACACCTTTCGAGTTAAATTTGTGTGTCTTGTTTGATTTCTGTTTACTTCCGTACTTAAAAACTTTTTGTTCTCTTTGTTGCAGGTTATGGAGAGATAGTTGCGAGCTTGCAAAGGCTCCAGTCGGCGCTAAAGAGATCCGGCTTCACCAGTTTAGAGCGGTCGCTTTCTGCAGTTCAGTCACTACTTTCCGGGCCACAGTTCAGCAGGGCGCTTTCCACCCATAACAGAGTCCAGGAAGCTCTAGCGGAGAACAGCTTTCCGCGGCCCGTCACTACCCAATCACAAACACTAGTCAGAGATGTGAGTCGGAATTTCGATAATTTTATTAGAGATAAAAGTAGATTTGGCCGATTTTTACGCGATGGTGCAACATTTTTATCAAGTTTTTGAACCAATAAAGGCGGGTTTGCGCACTCCTTAAGTTTATGGCGATTCAGGCGCCTATTTCGCAGTTTCCCTTTAAAAACTCCCCCGGTAACGACTCGCTGGAAGTAGTAAATTTTTACTGTCGGCAGCCTTAGAGAGGAAATTGATGCTTTAAGTAGAAAAGCGTTATGAATCTTGGGATGGATTTTTTTACTGATTTGAAATGTTCGGCGATATTTCATCAAATAAAACTCGTGCAAATGGAAAGTAAATTACAGAGGATAAAGTTTTTCAGCCTTTGAACCTCGATAACCAGCACAATTGGTGATTGTTCATGCATAGACATACTAACGTGCTTATTCGACGTTTCGAGTGGTGAACTAAGTTTTCTAGCTTTCGATGATAGTATCGCCATACTATATAATATTCTACTGCCATCATCATGGCTATGTATATCATCTAGCTAGCTAGCTATCTCTCTATCTGTTTATCTATTAGAATTTCATCAATCTGCTTATCTTTTTTATTTCCCTTTTCTCCAGTTTTCTTGCTCTTCTCTCTCTCTCTCTCTCTCTCTCTCTCTCTCTCTCTCTCTCTCTCTCTCTCTCTCTCTCTCTCTCCCCCCTCACGAAAGGCACACAGTGGATTGCTGTTGATTAAAGCTTTAGGTCGATTGTCGTAAGCGTTCTTTGTCTTCCAGAGAAAAGGTTTTCATTCCAGGGATTATCGTGGAGCGAAAGATTATCTTGATATTTTTCCTCCCATCCGGGCCCTTTCTTACCCATTCGTTTTACCAGACTATACTCCATACCTGTACCATTTTTAAAATTGTTTCATTTCGGCCTTAGTTGAGGAAAGTTTGTGGGGTAAATACAAATGTAAGTTTTGTATAACAATTCATTAACCGGGATTAAGTTCAACTGTGTTTTCTTTTTTTTCCCTACTTGAATTATGTCCTTTCTTCTTAGATTTTAAAATGGATATATATGTGTGAATTTGCCTGAGGAATGACAGTATCGAACTTTGCTTTTGTACTTGCACGCCTGCTTTTAGCTACAAAAATAACCCATTCTTTGGTGAAAAAACGCTGAAAACCACTTGGCAGGAATTATTTTTTAAGTCGTTCAGGCGTAAATGGTAAACTCCACTTAACGAATATTGATCATTCATATACATAGTAAATGTATAGAATATCTTTATCCTAAGTACAAGTTTAGAAGGAATTTAACATGAATTTGTTTTACAGTTCGTCGAAGGTTTGCAGTCGAGCAGCAGCGTCGAAGCTGTTGAACTGTGCGAAGTCCTCGGCAGATACGAGTTCGAAGGGTTGCTGTACGCACACGACGCGGTCGCGAGGGAGGTCTGGAGCCCGACTACCACCCCAACGAAGTCCATGCCCCCCACGGCGCCCTTTGACCCTCCGAGGAGCAAGGCTCCGACCCCCGTCCAGGAAGATGACTCCAACATCAAGATCATCAAGATAGAAAAGACTAACGAACCTCTTGTAAGTACCCAGTGTTTAATTAGCAATTCTAAACAAAGTATCCAAATGGCATGTGTTTTGAATCTACCATCAAAATTAAGTAAAGGAAATTTTAGAGAACATCCCAATAAATAAGTTATGTTTGAATTTAATTAATATATAATACAATTCCTCAAGGCTTCAGGTTATTACCTAACCAATAATTAACACACAATACACGACAATTAACTGGATAATCTACCGGCGTTCCGCAAATTACTATTTAGCCATGTGGGTAGTTTGTACTAATTATTTTCTCTTGTTATTGTTTTGATTCTGGTTGTTTTATCAGCATGGTCCAAAAATGTCAAAGGGGAAAGTTCTTTGCCTTGTTACGATAATATTGTTCTGGAAACAATAAGTTAACGTGATGTTTTGAGGATATTTTACATCCTATTGCATTTTTTCCAAATTGACAATAGAACAGATTCTATTTGGTGGCACTGCTTTCGATCGGATCCCATTGCACACACACACACACACACACACACACACACATATATATATATATATATATATATATAATGCACGGTGGGCGACGCGACCAAGACCCGAGGGGTTAAATGCCTGGGTAGACTCGTACCCCATTCCTAAAAGGTCCGGGACTTGGTCGGCTCACGTGTCCTGCATAAACCTCTTGGACCTGTTCACAAACCCCAAGATTTTGGACCATTTTATCTTGGGGAGTGATTTGGCAATGTCCTCTCCTTCAAAAGTTTCAAATCTATGCCTGGCATACCTATCACACTCTGCGAGGTAGTGCCGTGCCGTTTCTTCTTTTGTTTCACAGAAGCGGCAAAACGGGTCTGGTAAAATACCCATTATGAAGAGGTGTCTTCTCAAGGGGCAATAGCCCGTCTGGATACCTATCAGCCTCCTAATTCCTCTCCTTGAGTTAGAGAATAGCCATTTCGATTCTTTTGGTTTGATTTCCTTCACAAACTCCTTCGGGGGACAGCCCATTGCACATAAGTAGTTTTACAATAATTTTCATTATTAATTAAGCTGTAGACATACGTTTCTTGTTTAATAATATGCCAAATGGACCATTTCATTACAAACTCTTTCGTGATAAAAATGTCAAAGTAGTAGGTTACACCTAGTATCGCTTTTTACTTTGATCAATCTTCCAGTAAGAAACTTATTGTCTAGTGTGAATAAAATTCTCTTTCGACGAAAGGATTTTTTTTCTTTGTCGTAAGGAAAAAGCATAAAAATAGAAATTTGCTGCCTCGTTAAATGCCTTTGTTCTTCTACCCGTCTAATTTGGTCAGGCCAACTTTGATTGAAGAAGGGCGAAACTAGGCTGACCCAAAATGTTCAAACTGCTGACACTGTTCATAAACTCGGGCCTATGAGTTTAGCAACGAATGATTTATAGATCGATTCTTCAACTATATTTAAAAATAATTTTTAAATTGCTGTGCTGTTTTAACGTTACAATTTCATTTTCCGTTTAACTTACCATAATTGGAAAATAATAGGAAAACATTTCCAATAAGGCTTGATTATTAAAGAGAGCTTACTAGGGAAGGCTATGGATGTGGGATCCCTTAGTATGATAATTTTTTTTTCATACTAGGTCGAAAAATATTAAAGACGTGTACGAGCGTCATTTCCTCTCTGGAAGCGAATTAATTAACTAAACTCTGAACCGTTTCCCTTATAAAATAGTGTAGACATGTAGCAATACAAGTATGAGTGAAAGGGGAGAGAAATAGTGGGACAGACAGACAGAGAGAGAGAGAGGAGAAATGGTAATAGGAAGACTTTTTCTCTCTCTCCTTTCTTTCTCTTTCTCTCTCTCTCTCTCTCTCTCTTCTCTCTCTCCTCTCTCTCTTTCTCTTTCTTTCTCTCTCTCTCTCTCTCTCTCTCTCTCTCTCTTTCTCTTTCTTTCTCTCTTTCTCTTTCTTTCTCTCTCTCTCTCTCTTTCTCTTTCTCTCTNTTTATTTATTTATTTATTTGCTCTGTTTATTTATCTACCTCTATCTCTATCTACATTTTTATTTCCCATTTTCTCTTTCTCTATTTCTATCTATCTGTCTGTCTAATCATCAGCTAAATTTTGAATCGATCTCACTTGTAAAATATTGTAGACTTGTAACAATACAGATACAGGATAGACAGGACAAAAAGATCGGTACTGACTAAACTAACGATTTTGTATCTATTCATTATTACATGATTCTGATTTAATATAGTATTTTGTTAGGGAGTGGTCATTTAATTTGTTGTCTAAGAAACCACGGCAAATGTAAAAACACAAGCCAAAGAGAGTAAAAAAACGAAAGAGTAAATATTTTTCCCTTTAATACTTTAAAACAGAAATTGTCACTTATCACTAGCTTGTGTTGTAATAAGATTCCTGGGGGGCGTCGGTGGCCGCAACGGTTTAGGCGTTGACACGGCGCTCATCACTGTAAGGTAAAGGTCCCGGGTTCGAATCCAGCGGCCAATAGGCAAATAGGCTTTTTTTTTTTTTTTTTCAAAAACACCGGCACCCTGAGTGTTAAAAAAATTGTCGAACTTTTGTTCTTGCTGTATTATGGGCATACAATATAGTGAAACTCTGGATAAAATACTGCCGCCTAAATATGTTATTTCATATTCTATTGCCAATTATAACTGTAATATTTATTATTTAAAAAAACCACATAGATATTTTATCTGACATTAACCAACATATTATTTTTATTTATGACGTCGCGTTTTTTACCACATTAGCCAAGCCTCCCTCTATTTGTATTTCTTAAGTGATGAATTTTTTGGGATAGGGGGCTGTGTCAAAAATTGCAGGGGTGACGGTGCAAATGGGACTCACGGCCGTGGGGTTTACGAGTTGAGTCTAACACACTAAAATCTCGTTTAAAAAAATTGTCCTGTATTTTTACGGGAAAATAACAAGTTGACAAGCCTGAGAAATGAGTCGAGGTACAAAATTGTTAAAATTAAAGATAAATAAACAATTAAAATGTTAGAGAAGTGAACGTGAGATGTGAAAAACAATAGACATTGTTTGAACGTTAACGATGTAAGGTCGGCCGCTGTGGAGAAGCGTACTTGAAAAAACATTGAACATATCCTTCTTCAAAAGTAAAAAAGGAAGGATTTAATAATGAGGGTATTAGTTAGTTAAAATAAAAGTTTTATCCTGCCTCCGACCCCTCCCTTGTTTGTCAAAGTCTTGACGTCGAGTAATAGACCGGGCGAACGGGCGAAAGCGGTGCAAACAGACGATAAACGCCCATTAATTTGCCGAGCTCGTGAAAACATTGTCCCATTAATTCAAAGCATTGTAATCCGGGTTAAGGTGTTCTCCACCCCCTGGTGTCAAAGAGGCCGAGGGTTCAATAGGGCGGGCCTGGATAACTTTCGACCTGTCACTGAATACCGCCGTAAGCCGGCCGGCCGTGCCTCGAGAGAAATTGCACTGCTAAACAGGGAAAGGGGTAAAAGCGAAATTTTCGCCTGACTCGCGTGACGAGATTTTCTTTAATCAGATGGCAGATGGAAAGAATTGTAATTGTTTCATATAATGAGCCATTAGAAGCGGATAGTGAACACCAGGAAAAAAATCACGAAGCACAACTGGGCAAGCACAAATCACGAAAACTTTCATGTTCTAAAGAAATCCTCCGACAACAGTCGGATTTCAACGATTGTGTACAAAAAAGAATGCAACAACACTATAAACATATGAGGGCTGATAAAGATCTACTTCTTGCAGTTTGGGTCCACCTTTGTCTCGGCATAGGACTTGAGACATCCTAATCCCAAAAGTGATCTGCAATTTTTTGTTTTAAGTTTAAGTTTGTTTTTCTAAGTTAGAATGTTTCTTGCCAAATTGTTCTCTCGCATTCAGTCTTCTTAAATATATGTATAAAATAATTTTTATCTCATCCAAGACCTTACATAAAAAGAATAATTAATTGAAAGACATAACTTAGTCAATTGACCACTAAAACATTAATGGATTAATATAAAATAATTATGGTACTTTTATTTGTCCAAATTGACAAAATAAGCACGGTACGACATGGAAAAATGCTGGAGGTCAATAAATAAACCAACACAACAATAGTAAAAAGAAGATTGAATTAAAAAACATAATAACATAAAAGTAAAGCCAAATGTTTAAATAATTATAATGATTGTGAATCCTGTTTAAGATTTAATTTCTTTAACAAATTCAAGAACAATACTTAAATCATAATCAGTTATACAAGTTTTACCAAGTCGCCATGCTCAGTGCTGGTTTAAGTGATTTCTGTGCAAAGTTTCTGTTATAAGGTCATGAGAGGTGGAAAATGATCAGTATCGATCAAACTATATCACCCTTCAGACCACATGGCAAAAACTTACACAATCTTTATTGCCGCTTCACTGCTCTGCGTGTAGTTTAAGCCAATATGGCAATACTGCTGTGGTTTCATGGTTCAGAAGCTAATAGCCTTTTAAAAAGAGTTTAGATTTTTCAAAATTATTTTCTGTGCTTTGCAACAAATATTGAATAGATTTTAATTAATTATTCTTTCTTTTTAACTAAGATCTTGGTTGAGATGAAAATGTTAGTGTGATAGGCGGGATTTGAACCCATCGAAACATGTATGGATTAATTGAATGGATTGTAACAAACTCAATCCTAAAAGATTTTGGCTATCTGATTCATAAATACTGTTGTTAAGATGAAATTAAAAATATATGATCAGTTGATATGCCAAAATACTTTTTAAATGTGTGGTGATTAGTGACTGTTAGTCAATGATTATTCGGATTCTAAAACCTATGTCACACCAGACCGCATCTCACGATCTCCAAATAATCATACTTATTAAATTTGCTAAACCCATCTTCTACACTGTAAATACTGCAGACATTCCTACTCTTCTTGAAACAGTTCTTACTACCTATGTGGATGATACCACTATCCTTTACTCCCATAAAAACCTGTCATTTCAACCAGAAACCTACAAAGCCATGTAGGTTCAATCTCTTGAGAGTGGTTCAAGCAGTGGAAATGGCGATAAGTATACAAAAATGATAATATGTCGCTTTTACTCTAAGTAATAACCATTCCTCCACCCATCTTTGACAATAGTATCCCTTTCCCACCAGGATATGTAATGTACTACCCTACTACCCTGGGCTGTACATTGATAAAACTTAATGGAACTCTCATAGGCGACTCAAAAGAGTTAACAGACGATTCAGACTTCTCAAAAGAATTGCTGGATAAACGGTCAAAACTGACTTTACAAAATAAATGACTCATTTATGAAACTATTTTGAGACCCATTTGGACATACGGAATTGAAGTTTGGGGTCCAACAAAACGTTACAACCTCCAGCGTATCCAATTCTTACAAACAAAAATCTTTCGAACCATCATCAATGCTCCTTTCTGTGTACCCAATCTTACCATTCACAGTGACCTTAAACTTCCAATATGTCCTTGAAGTAGTGAAAAACCGCTCCAAGAATTAAACAATTATCCATTCACCCAAACCCTCATGTCAGATACCTTTCATCCCGCACCCTTCCAAATAATCCTCCCCAATGGCTGAAGAATCAATGGCCTCGTGACCTCCTAAGTGACAGTGAATAACAATGGATGTGATTACTGCTAATATATAGGATTGATTACTGATGAGTAGTTCCCCTTTTTTCTGTTTTATGTATATTTTTACTAAATTCACTATTTTTTGTGGTCCGCTTGACCAATTAATATCATTCAATTAATTAAGGTTTTTAGTTGGGATAAAAATGTCAGCATCACGAGCGGGATTTGAACCCACGACCTTCGACTTGATACGCTGCTACTCTACGCTTTAGCTATCGTGACTTCGATCCACTCAGGCACTAACTTTTTTATCTCAACTAAAAACCTTAATTAATTGAAGTATATTTTTACGTTCATTTTGTTTTGTTTTATAGTGTAAAATTCTATCAAATCTACTTAAGCGCAACAATTGACATAGGTGTAAATAAATATTGGGGAAAAAAAATTGTTAAACAATTTCTAGGCTAAATCAAGCTTCAGCATATATCAAACTAGCTTAAATTCTGAAATGATCAAACTTTATGACTGAGTTATCACCAGCCAAAGAAATTTACTTCATGCAATAATCTCGTGATTGATTTTGTTCTAGGGTGCTACTGTTAGAAATGAAGGTGAGTCTGTAATGATTGGCAGAGTGGTACGAGGTGGTGCGGCAGACAAATCCGGCCTCTTACACGAAGGCGATGAAGTCTTAGAAGTCAATGGGGTCGAGATGAGGGGTAAATCCGTGAATGAAGTCTGTGACCTTTTGTCAGCGATGACAGGCACCCTGACATTCCTTATCGTTCCTGCAGCACCAGTATACACACATACACAACATAGGACAGACACTCTGGTAAGTTATAAATAGTCTTATTTAAAGTATGTTTTGTTCAGAACCTCTACTAACATTTGTTTTTTTCCTTTTGGGATTAGTTTGATCACAATTACTTAGGTTTTCACTCCTTCAATTGAAGGATATCATAATGTTTATTTTTCATGACTTTTATGAAAACTAGATCGCTTAGATTGGAAAAGTTAGATTTCATTTAAACAGTCAATTCATTGTACTTTTTTTTCATAATTCATTCATATCATGCCATGAAAGAAATTCAACAAACGCCTTCTAAAACATCTGTGTTTGTTGGTTGCCCATGTCAAATGTCCGATTGAAAATGTTGCAGGAGCGGTCGTCTTGTTTGAGTTTCGCATATTGCAAGGTAAGATAGTCCAAAGTAACTAAAAAACAGAGTTTTTCCTTTAACAAATTGTAAATATACTTTCTCATATTAAATGTTTACCTTACAGTAATTAACAGTTTTTGAAAAGAATGCAACATAAAAAATTTCAATCGCTTAGTAACTGCCCGTTGTATAATATAAATTTGTCCGCAGCTTGATCGTTTCAGCAAATTCGCTATCATCTGATTGGTGACCCAGGATAAACAGAGACGATCAAGCTGTTGACAGATGTAATACAACTTGCAGACCAAGAAGTTGCAAGAAGTTTACATTTTTAATAATATTATTATGAGTTTTTTATGTAGGCAATTATTTTTATGATTATTACTGTAAAGGGCCTAGCACTAGATCAACAATTGTTTACCATTATGACTAACACAATTCTGCCTGCATGAATAAATAAAAACCGTGTAGTATATGTGTTTTTGTGCTTTTGGGCCCCTTTCTCTCTTACCACATTGTTTTGTATCATAATTAACGGTTATTGTTTACATTTTCTTGTAATCTACCCCAACACTCTCTAATAAACCTAAATTAAAAGAGTTAATTTTTTAATGTTATATGTTCAGATATGTCTGGATGTGTATATAAATATTTTTTTAACTTTTTTAAATCAGATGCATATGAAGGCAAATTTCGACTATGACCCCGAAGATGACCTATACATCCCATGCAGGGAACTCGGTATTAGTTTCCAAAAGGGTGATGTCCTCCATGTGATATGTCAGGACGATCCAAACTGGTGGCAAGCGTACAGGGAGGGGGAGGAAGACCAGACTTTGGCCGGTTTGATTCCTAGTAAATCATTCCAACAGCAGTAAGTGAAACATTCTCTTAATATGTTTTATTAATTCAATTATTTTTTAAACTAATCCTGTTTATAAATTAGGCGAGAAGCGATGAAGCAATCAACAATAACTGGAGACAAATTAAACAGAGAAAAATCAAAGAAAGCTGGAACATTTCTATGCGCAAAAAAGAACACAAAGAAGAAAAAGAAAAAGTCATATAGTGATGCCGGTTATCCTATTTATGCAACAAATTTGGTTGATGGTAGGTTTTTGTTTTAAATTTTCATTAAAATTTATCTTCTTTCTCTTTCTTATTATTTTCTCTTTGCAGATTTTGATCAGGATGAAATTATGACTTATGATGAGGTAGCGCTATATTATCCAAGGGCTAATCACAAGCGTCCAATTGTTCTCATCGGTCCACCAAATATAGGAAGGCATGAGTTGAGACAAAGGCTGATGGAGGATTCTGATAGGTTTGCTGCAGCAATTCCTCGTATGTTTACTCTCTTAAATTTTCCACACCAATTTTCTTTTTGAGAGATTTCAAACTTTTATTTCCCCAAACAGATACAAGTAGATCAAAAAAAGATGGTGAAGTGGACGGTCAGGACTACCACTTCATCACAAGGGCACAGTTTGAGGCTGACATACTGGCGAGGAAGTTTGTCGAACATGGTGAATACGAACGAGCATACTACGGAACATCGTTAGATGCGATACGGTCTGTTGTCTCAGCAGGGAGGATCTGTGTCCTCAACCTTCATCCCCAGTCACTGAAAATTCTTAGGTCGTCCGATCTTAAACCTTACGTAGTTTTTGTAGCACCTCCCTCTTTGGAAAAGCTCAGGCAGAAGAAAATCAGAAGTGGTGAATCATACAAAGTATGTTTTATCTTAGTTATCGTATTTATCGCTTTGAAAAAATTTAAATATATTTTTTCCTTTTAATTATAGGAAGAGGAGTTGAAAGATATTATAGAAAAAGCAAGAGAAATGGAAGATAAATATGGGCATTATTTTGATATGATTATTAACAACAATGATACAGAGAGAGCTTATCTTCAACTTTTAAATGAGATCAACATCCTTGAACGAGAACCACAGTGGGTTCCCGCATCATGGGTCAAGGCTGTATGAGGAATATTGGTAAATTTTAAATTATAAAATATTTTATTTCGTGTTGTTTCTATTTATTGATTATTAAAGTAATTAATAACTGAATTGTTTAATTAATTTTTATGTTTTTATTTTTGCAGATAATGAGGCATTCGGAATCACCAGGGAGCTTGTCTAGCTAACGTGACGATGGGGCTGAGGGAATGCCCAGAACCCACACGAAATCGTGTATATACACTTTGCTGATTCCTCTAATCACACCCAGTATTGCTCCCTCGAGATGTTCTGATCAACTTGTATATCATTTTTATTTTGTTCAGATTATTTTTTACAGACTGACAAAAGAGATGAGGTTTAAATATTTATTTCTGCCACGACAGAAACAAGACAATCGAGAGAATGTCTGTCCTGGATGCAACAAACAAACACACCTTTTATCCTTCCCTTGTTGTATACATTTGTTTAGTAATGTCTATACCTATATAAATATATAAATAACGTATAAATAATAAAAGTATATATTTAAATATACATGTCTTTCTATGTTTTACATACAAGCCTAAACACTACAAAAAAGTGTAAACACCCAACACTAAAGTGTGTTTATATACTTTACAAAATATATGTATATTCTGAAGTAGTGGAGTGGTATTTTAGAAGACAAATGCCTCTTAGTGCCAATGTTAATAAAGTTATTTTGTGCTCTGCAGTTTTCAAACAATAATAAAAATTCAGCAGAAATTCTGAGACCACTGTTAAACTTGTTAACGTTTTAATTTTCATGATGATGGCGCCCTCCCCCTCATGAAAGAAATTTATACTACCTTATTACTTTTGCTCAATCGTCATTATTCTAATTTATGTATAAAATATTGTAATAAATTGTTTTGTATAATTATTAAAAAATATAAAAGGGAAAAAATTGGAATAACGATAAGAATAAAATGAGTGCTGTGTTATGTGTAAAGTATGTTGTAAAAAAAAGTGTCATTACAAAAACAAAAAATTGTATAAAGAAAAGTGCTTAATTGTACAGGTTAGCTTGACAATCAACATATAATTTGTTGAAAGCAACAATGACATTTATCATGTAAACTTTTAAATTGTTTAGTAGAAATTGTAACAATGTAGCACAAATGAAGATGGTTAAAAAATTAAAAGGAAAAAATGTACATTTCAATTTTGTTAAAGATATTATTCCAACCATCCAATAAAATTTTGCAAATTCTAACCTGTACAAAAAATTTCGATTACTAAATAATACAAGATAAATTAAGATCGACTTAATACTGATAATGAGTATTCTGAAATTATATAAAAAATATATTTTTATTTGTAGATAAAAAGAGTGCAATTCTAAGGTGTACAAATAGAAAGAAGTTATAAAATGTTTAAAACCTGGGTATATGAGAGGAGTAAAGTTTGATTTTACATTTTGCCCACCTACCATGATCACTCTTTGTAAATAATTCCTTTTGAGTAGTTCAAGGTTCTGGAATAAAAATAATTTAATTTTTCCTTTTGAGTAGAAAAAACCGCTTTCTGATTATAAAATAATAAAAATATTCATATTAAATTTAATTGTCATAGTGCTAACACACAATAGAGGGTGTCTTTTTATAATAGCCGATACTAAAACAAAAACAGGATTGTACTCATTATTCCACCACGTAGTTTCAAACTTTTTAAACTTATCAAACTTAGCTTTTATCGATCGGTGAAAAAGCAATTTTTGAAGTCCAATGAAAAGAATTCTTTTATAAGCTTCCATTTTATAGCAGGAAAATGTGCCAAACTATCGAACGAGATCAAATGTCAGTGAGAGAGTTAGAAAATGATGAAAAGTTTATTCAAATTTACAGTATTCCTCCCATAGAATGAAAAAGAACTGCCCAAGGAATTTTTAAGAGATTGAAGAAAACTTGTACATAATTGTCTTTATTTTTAATTTCTTGTTAAAATTTGTTTTGATTAAAGTATTAATTGTTATTTATACATAGATTATAAATATACATATATATAATATAAATATCTTTTTATTAGGATTCTATACCTTCTTGTGTACAGAAAAACTTTAAAACATAGGATTTAATAAACTACTAAATTAACAAATAAGTAAGTTTAATATAAAAAATTAAAACTGATACGGCCTCGATATTTTGTAGATAAAAAGAAAAATGTCCCAAAAAGAGGAAAGGTAGCCAATCAATTTACTTTTTTTTTACATTTACATCTATTGGTTTTGATTTTATTCTAATCTCCATTTATTGTTTAAACAAATTCAGGCTGGATTCAGGAGTCAGACAAACAAAAACTGCTCAAAAAGGGTGTGTTTTTCCTCTTAAATGGATATTTTGATAAACTGAAACCAAGAGTACTGTATGTTTTGTTGCAATGATAATGCACAAGGATAATAAATAAAAGAGATTGGAAAATATTGTAATACACGTTTTAATTTTGGCCAAAGTGACCTAATCACTGTTTTAAAAATAATAAAGGTGTATTATTCCTTATTTATGGCTGCATTCTTCTCTAAATATTTTTTCTCTTTTGAATAATTTATTTTTTGTGGTGATTTCAATCTGGTTTTGGAAATCAAGGCTTATTTAATTGTTTTAATTTAGTCTGTCTAGTATTGATTAAAAACAAAACTTCCTCGTTTTAGAGAGGGAGTTTCTTAACAAAAGGGAAAAAGTGTAAATTATTCCTAAGCTCTGGGTTGAGAAAAACTCCAAAGGATAAACTTTTTAAAGAGAGAAAAGATATTTGGAAATATGTAAGCAATATTGTTACAAACAACTTGTTTTTACAAAAGTTGAATATAATGTATATTATCTTTGTTGTCATACTCTCTTAGTAAATGGTATTTACCTTACAGTTTTTGCAGTTTATTCGCATGTCCTAACTTAAGACATATCCTTAGATTTTCCCATCTGTTTTGAATTTTGTTTATAAGTAAGTTTGTAAAACATTATTGTGAGGTCTGTCTTTATTGTCATCTAACATTATATGCTTTTTGTTGCATTCTTTATAAAATCTCTAAATGCTGCACATGTTCAACGAAAGTAGCAAAATTTTAAAAAAAATGCTCCTTTTGGGCCTCGTTCTTTTCACATTTCAACATGTGCTCGAAACTCCCCACAACACAATTGGACAATTAGGTTATGGTTTTTGTTTGATTCAATATATAATTCACAAATACCATGGGCTTAAATGTGAAACTCTTCGTTCTCAATAAGACAGAAGAGGAATAAATCGAAAATAGACGGACTAGCAAGATCATGTGTAGATCCATCACGATTTTTTTACATAATCCCAACAATGAAAATGGCGGAATTCTGAAATGCGTATATACAAACGAAGATTAACAGGTAAGAATGACCAAAAACGAACAAACTATTTATTGAAATAAACTTAAAAATTTGCCTTTAAGAAAAATTAATTATTTTATTCTACACGACATGTAGTATAATCGTCCTCCACCATCCCGGTACTCTCCCATCTTGCATATCATTCCTACAGTTTAAATTTTAGCTAATAGTCATAAATTGCAAAATTTGGTGAGGCATGAGGTGATGAACTGTAGCCCCCCGATAATCCACGTCTGGCGATCCTCAATTCACTGAAAAAAAATTTTAAGTTGAGCTAAAAGTAATAAATGAGAGTTCTTGAAGTGATGACATTCAAAGATAGAAAGTCCGCCTATAATACAGTTATTATAGGTGGGTTTTCTGAAGGTGTTAATTTTAGCTAAAAGTCTAAATTGCGACATGCGGCGAGTCGGGCAAGAAGTTGGAATTGTAGTTTGATCATACTCGTCAGCTTATCCCGTTCTATTGCAGTCAATTGTGCTGTCTTTTTCTGTACTAAAGAGTTAATTTAGCTATAAAACGACATATTGTGAAATACGATGTAATGAAACTCTCTTAATCGTCCTGGCTATATTATTCCTGCTCTTGATAGTTTAGTGACAAAAAATTTAATTTTATCTAAAAGTCATAAATGTCGAAATGTGATGAGTGAGATCTATGGCGTGATCTTGACCCGCCTTTCCTCGCTGATTTCGTCTGTCAAGCGAAAATAAGAAAGTGCTCCATCTTCAAAACATTTTTGCGTCACGAAATGTGATGTGTTAAGAAGTTGATTTGGTAATATTTTATAGACATCCCGACAGTCCCGATGAATTGATCCCTGCCCGGATTAGCGAAAATTCTTATTAATCGAAAAATACAGAAACAAGCAGTAACGAAGTGTAGCCATACCGAATGATGGAGGTGTGATAAGACAAACATGCTACTTTGAAAAATAAGCAGGGAATTTTGAAAAAGCTAGACAAAGGTGAGAGTGTGGTTAAGTAGTTTCTGATCGTTTTGATATCGTCGGCTGTCGCTATCTTTAAAGCCCAATAAGACGGCAGAAACCAGAAACGCGCCTGACAGACCCAAAAGGACCAAATGTGGTACAATGGATTAACTGTCACTAAATACCACACAAAATATCTTTTAAATTAAATTCACTAATTTTGTGGTCCGCTTGACCAATTAATTTAAATTAAAGTAGAAACGGCAAACTATATTTTGCAAACTGAAAAATTATTGACTCCTCAGTATGTTAAAGTAGTAAGAATTTTCTCGAACTGGACTTTTTAAGTAATGACTTTAGTTTTCTTATATGGCGACTGTAAATTGATCATTCTGGTACGCATACGCTCGCTAGATTTGTCGCGTATTGAGAATGAATGATTAACTTGTCGGCCTATTCTCGTTTTATTACTCTAGAGTTTAGTAAGAAAGTTGAACTAAAAAGTGTTCAATTTCTAAATATGGTGAAATCTGTAGCTGGATCGTTCTGGTCGCCCATTATCTCTGGTTTAGTCTGAATTTCGTGATTTCTCCGCCATGAAAATCTCACAAATATTTACAGAAATAAATATTTTTTTTATTGTTAAGCTCTTATCGAACTGGACTTTTAAGGACTGGGCTGAATGACGGTCTCAATGATTCATCGTTTTCGCTTAAGATAAGAATAAAAACGACCGGTTTCCATTGTTTTGGAAATTGGAAATTTGAAAGAGTCATTGTAGGTTTAATTTGCTAAAAACTGAAAACAGCCAAGATAGGGAGAGCAAAATGATAGGAAATGACCAAACTACAACGCGGGAGATGTTCTACACAGAGGCCACTTAGAAAGAAAATAGACAAGAGGTTACGGACTTGAGATCAACGATTTTAGCTAAATAAAAACTAACATAGACAAATAGTAACAAAGCTATTAGGCGTCTGGTGTGTTAAAACCTATAACTTATAGTATATAGCCTATAACATCTGAACAGAAAGCACACTTATTAGTGTCAATGTTAGAGGGAGTGCATACTTTAATTTCGGATTAGGCAAAGTCAATTACACCCATGTAGTAAACGAGGAGTAAGGCGATTATTCAAGCAATAACAATTCAAACAATTATTCAATATTGGATTGCAACCTTGTCTCCCCAAGTGTACGTACCATAGCTAAAAGTATGTCTCCCCCCAAAAAAGTTCAGGTCATGTCAGTAACATGATGCTAAAAAAATTTGCCAGGTAAGAATTTAGTAGTATTATCTTTAATAGTTTGTTAGTTTTCGGTCCCTTTCCTACAATGAACTCAAAAATCATAATGTTACACAAACCGGGCGAAAACCCCAAAGACCCTCTGAGCTCTACAAGGCAACTAGTTTATTATGTTCATTGAGCAAGATTTTTAAGAACTGACTGCAGGTTACTATTCTCCTTTATGGATCGAAAAAGAATGCTTCCTCTTGAACCATTTAGATTCATCCCTTATCATTCGACACAAGCTCAACTTAGTAGGCTTAGTGACCTATTTGGCTTTAACATAAAAAGCTTACTGGAACGATTTTACTGGATATCAAGACGGCCTTTAATTCTGATGGCATAAAGGCTTGTTTACAAATTAATCCATAACATCTTTCCTAGGTAATTAATAAAAAATAATCAGCTATTACGTAAAGGACCAAAGCTTTTGAGTCCGCTATGCGGGAGCCAGCTCTGAAGATAGCAGCTGGTGTTCCTCACGGTTCATTATTGGGACCAACATTGTTTCTTGATTACTTGTGTGATATGCCTAAGTCCCAGCATACCCAATTGGTCCTCTTTTCGACCTCGTGGAGCAGCTTTCTATTTCTAAGAAACTGAACGATACTTTAAATAAACTGGATACGAACTTAAAGTAATGTAAAATAGGAATTAATCCTTTAAAAAAACAGTTACTATTCTTTTCACTAGGAGACGACCTACACTCGGTGATGACGTGTCGATCTACATATATGATAGTTGGTCAGCCATCACCCTTCTTTACCTTTCAAGTCCGGGGACCCACTTTAAAGTAAACTTGTTGCGTTTTCCTAGGGCCAATAGCCAATGTAGGCACTCGCAAACAAGTTTGAAGTTGAATGCATTCGCTTAGTGCCTTTTAGCTGCCTGACTGTCTGAAAGTATGTGTTAATCTGGGCACCTTTCATATTTTTCTTTATTAACTCCTGTGTACAGAATTGTATTGAATGGACGTCAGCTTGGAACATTGTTGGGATTAGGCCAAGAGGCTTTCCTAGGGTAGAGTTCGGCCCTTTATCCTACACCTACTCCCTGTTTCTTCTTAGATCCATCTGTGTACCCTTCCTGAAACTTGGGGCTATTTTCTTACAAAAACCTTTATTATTTATGACCACTTGGAAGGGTCTGTCAAAATTGAGTTTTTCTTTCGTTTTGTCGGGTACCGTTATAGCCATCATTTATTTTATTTTCATTCTCTCCAAAATTTTGTGGTGGCTCTTCCTTAGATCTGGCTTTATTTTTCTTGTATCTCAGGAGTCTGTTGGCACTCTCAAAAGAAACTTTTTTCTGTGTCAACCGATTCACTTGGGTACTTCTTTATTTTTGGCGGTTGTTCTATCACTCATATAAACAATATAGAAAATTTCCCGTCGTATTGTCGCTACAACGAGACTGGCAGAAAGAAAGGCATATCAGTATTTCACAATCTACGGCTTTATGGTCCAAATGTGAACCTTTTCCTTCTCAATAAATTGTAACCATCAATAGCGAGAAAAGGCGGACAAACAAAATTCGTCTTTGATCATTCTGGTCCGCCTATCATCGCTGGTGTTTTAGTACGAATTTGGATTCCTCCGTATTGAGCGTCAAGTGTGCCAAAAACCCTTAAAAACTTTCAGCTATAAAGAGTTAAATTATGTTGAATAATGGATTTCTGCTAGGTAACTTGACCTTGCTTGTCTTATTGTGTACGGAAAACTCATAATTTAGTAATAAAGTCGTCAATTGCGAAATTTCGGTAAGCTATGATGCAATGAAGTGTTGAAACCATAGGTTGATAGACCAGTTCCGCCTAGTCTTGCTGTATCAATGATGTATTTAACATCAACAACGTTCCAACGGTTTCCATTTTACCCATAAACTCTAAAATTACAAAATGAGGCGATAGAACTATAAGCTGATCATGATGGTCTACTATTCTCGCTGTAAAGTAAGTTTTGTAGAGAAAGAATATTTTTACGTTTTCCTATAGTGAAATGTGCTGATCCGATTCCTTCGTCAGTTTTCTGTGAAGTTTCAATTTTAGCATTTATGTCGTAAATAGGAAAAGAAGTCAGACTCATTTCGAGACTCAGCCATCATCTTTGATGGATTTGTGTCAGAAATCTAGCATTGCTTTAGTAGTTAATTTGTTTAAATGATGAGACCTGATGGTCTTGGTCTGCTTGTTCTTGTAGAATTTTCGTACAGTCTTATCGAAATGGAATAGTTTTACGTTTTTCCTACATTGTAAAATGTGGGCGAAATATGACAACCTAGTGAAACTGTAATTTGATGTTGCTGGTCCTCCTACTTTCGCCGTGTTTATCTACTGTCGGGTTGGGAATGAATACTACCATGTTTTAGCAATAGAACTTTTGTGTAGAAAAAATAGTTTTCGCTAAAAATCATAACTTCCGATATAGCATGAGGCCGAGAGATGATTCGGTGGAAAATGTTCAACTGCTGATATTCGAGAAAAAAAAAGAAACATAAGCAAGAATCGGCTGACCAAGATGAATGCATAAATTACACTTCATTTCTTGTGAAACACTGAAAATGAAGTTTATAGAAATATTTTGCTATTGGACAATATTTAGTCTTTCCAGGCCCAGATCTACAGGAAGAAAATGGCCAAATTATCAAATAGCTTAAAAACTTACTTTGACTCCTTATGTTAAAAAATTAGCTTATCCGACCCGGAGGACCAGAAAATGTTAGCTCAGTCTCATATTCGAGATGATGAAACTATAACTTAAACGTGCTCGTGAAGTTTACTACAGTTTAGTGGAAAATATGGATTCTAGCTATTAAAATTTTATATTGCGAAATGTGGTGAGATTTTACGAAGTGATAATCTAAAACTTGACTTGCTGGTCCACCTATTATCGCTCTATACCTTGACTGTTCTATTGGACTACAGTTTAATGACAAAAGTTGACTTCTAGTGCAATCTTTTATTGCGACATGGTGATGCTTATGAGATGAAACAATAATTTGGTCTTGCTGGCGTACAACCTATTTTCACTTTATTCCTTTTTTGTCTTATTGAGATCGAAACGTTTCATATTTAAGCAATAAAGTCGTACATTGTGATATGTGTTGCGGTCAACGAGGTGATAAAACTGTATCCTGATAGACCTGATCCTCTTGTTCTATTGGACTACAGTTTGAGAACTAAGACACACAGGAAAAAATGTTGAACTATTTAATTTAATATTATATAACTATCTAATGAAATAGCTTAAAAATCCATCTTGACCTTTTAGAATTTATTTTTACTTTTCTTGACATTTTGTTATAATGTTCGAAATTTGTTGGACTATAGTTTAATGAGAAAATTTGGATTTCAGTTTAATCTTACTTGACTAATAGTCCTTCCTTCCCAACACCCACAGGAATAAAATAATAAAAAAATGGATAAACTAGTTTAAATTTATCTTGACTCTTTATATTTTTAATTTTACTTTTAATTATCTGTCCTGCCCGGATGACCAGAAAAATTTATCTGAGTCTCAAATTGCGAAATATGGTGAGACATGTGATATGATGAAATTGTAGTGTGGTTGGTTATTGGTTATATTGGTTTGTCTACGTTAGATGGTTTTGTATATTCGTGCCAGAAATTACCAAACTGAGGTGATGAAACTGTCAATTGATCGAACTACTAACTAATGTGCAAATTTATTGGGCTATAGTTTAATGAGAAAAGTCGGATTTCAGCCTAGTCCTACTTGACCAAATTCCTTCCTAGCTAAACCCACAGAAATAAAATTAAAAGAAAAAATGGATAAAATAGCTTAAAAATTACATTCACTCTTTAGATTTTTCAATTTCACTTTTCCTTCTTTTGTCCTGCCCGGAGGACAAGAAAATTTTATTTTAGTCTCTTATTGCGAAATATGGTGAGACATACGATGTGATGAAATTTTAGTGTGGTCGGTTTTCGGTTTCTTTTATTTGTCTACTTAGATGTTTTTGGATATTCGTGCTGGAAACCACCAAATTGGGGTGATGAAAATGTCGATCGAACTTTACATTTATTGATCTACAGTTTAATGAGAAAATTCGGATTTCAGCTTAGGCCTACTCGACCAATATTCCTTCCTAGCTAACTCCTACAGGAATAAAATAACTTTTACTTTTCTTGTCCCGGAGGACCAGAAAATTTTGTTAGTCTCATATTTCGAAATATCGTGAGACATTCGATATGATGAAATTGTAGTATCGTAGTTTATAGTCAATTTGGGTGTCGTTGTTTTTGTGGATCGGTGTTGTAGAATGTTCTTTGATCAGAAACGATCAAATTAAACGTAGTAGATACATCCACAACGTGTTAAGCTGGTAGGATCTGAGGAAATTTCTCGGCGTTGGTGTGGCGGCAATGATGCCAGTGGAAGGGATGATGGTTGAGGGAGGTGGGAGTGGATCTGATAAAACGGGGAGGTGGTTCCGTTGGCCGTGTTCCTTCCAGGCACGAAGACACTCCCGAGTCGTCCTCTGTCTCCAACTTCGAATGTTTGTTTATCCGAGCGGATCGGCGTCGCAGTTGCTCTTCGACCGCCTCTCACGGCGTTTACCTCTTCGCTCGCGGCCCGTTCATCGGAGCGTCAATGGAATTCTTTCTCTTCGAGTGGAAAACCTCCTCGAAAGCAGTTCCCACCGACGGACGGGATAATAAAACAGCGCTCTGTTCTAAACTGCGTAAAAGTGACGCCCGTTTCTTTTCTTTCCCCTCCAGTCGCGTTTGAAAATGAACTACCCTCGGAAAGTGATCGGCTACTGGATGTCGGAGAAGAAGAGCCAGAAGCTCAACTGGTCCGAATTCGCCAAAGTGTGCAGGTAAGCCTTGCCGCCCTCTACATCGTACGGTAGTTATTAACGTTTTGACTTTTTCCAGGGACCACGGCTTCGAACTCGTCAAGGTAAGGGGAAAGTTGCGTTTCCGCTTAAAGTTTACAAATAGGATTTACGAACGCGACCCCTGACGATTGAAATGTTTCCAGCTCAATTTGGACCGGCCGCTAGACGACCAGGGGCCCTTCACTGTCATTATACACAAATTGACGGACATAATTGCTCAAGCTATTAAGGATGACTTGAAGGTACGAATTTAAATTATAAACGTAATTGCATGATTTGTCGTGAGTAGGAGGTGCATGTCAGCCCGGCAATCAGGAGGGCCGACATTCCAACAGATAAGTCATGTCCAAGTGGCGTGGCGGATGCCTGGCTGGCAGAACCAAAAAAAGTCATGTTCCATCATGATAGCACACTAGAGTCACACTAAAATTTAACACCATTCAACTGGGGACAACAGTCTGTTTTTAAAGGAACCACTATTATAAACAAAAATGTACTTTCAAATTGCACTCCTTTGGATAGCTAAGTCTATTTTTAACAAATACACTGATGTCCATTTTCGTTGCCTATAAGATGTCTTTGAATCATTCAACTCTGGATTGAACAGGCTGATATTTTTTTTTTTTTTTAACTAATCTATTGAAAATGGAAGTGATTGTGTTTGAAGTTCAACGATGAACAGAAAAACCAATATTCCCCCAAATCACACTGCACAACATTTTGAATTCGTTTCTTAGAAATTTTTCTGAATCAATGTCCATATTGGCTGCCTGTCACTAGCATGTCAAAAATTTACTATTGGAACAGGCTGAAAACTTTTTATTTTTTGAAAACTACAATTGGGTGAATATAGAACAGATTATGTGTTTATGTTCAATGATTAACAGGGAAAAAATTCCTTCAAATCGCACTCTATCATCATTTTGGGTCAATCGATTAACTGAATCGGTATGCATATTGGCTGCATCTCAAAAATTCGACACTCGTATGGACTGGCTGATATATTTTAATTTTTGTAAAAGTTCAATTTATTGAATATAGAAGAAATTAGGTGTTTATGCTCAATGATGAACAGAAGAAAAAACCGATAATCCCCAAACTACAGTCTGTTGAGAATGGAAGTGGTTGTGTTTTAAGCTGAAAAACATCCAATATTCTGCCAAATCCCACTGCACAACATTTTGAATTCGTTTCTTATAAATTTTTCTGAATCAATGTCTATATTGGCTGCTTATAAGGTGCAGGTCAAAAATTCGACGTTGGTATGAACAGGCTATCTTTTTATTTTTCAAAAATTAGAATTTGTTGAATATGTAAGATAATATGTGTTTAAGCACAATTCTGAACAGAAGAAAATCAATATTCCTCATTATCACACTCCACCAATTATGTAAGTCATATTGTTTACATTTAGTGAATCAAAAAATTATTGATATACTTGGTTTTTTTGTATTTTCTTCCTTAATTTTATTTTGCAAAACAATATCAGAAACCTTTGAACTATACAGAAAACAATTCAACAAAGTGTTTCATGTAATTATTTGTTAATAATTAATTAGGAGTTTCTTTAAAATACAAGAAATGACCAATTTGAATGCCAAAATATTATTCACACACAAAACTGCCATAATTTTTTTTTTAAAATAAATATTTGTATGCAATCGCTTTGCATTTATTATGGCTTGTAACCTTCTGAAAATGTATTCAATGAGGTAGTAAACCTCATTGAATACATTTCGTGAACATGATATTAAGTCTCTTAGGTTGTAAATTCAATCCTTACTGTTTTTAAATTTTTTATAAACTCACTTCTTAAAGAACAAATTAAATTTTCAGATTTTCTCTCCATGACCCATAAATTTTCAATGGCCGTGGAGGTGTGGTAAAATGTAGCGGACATAGTAATTAAGTCATGCTTTGTTTTTTTTTTGTTTTTTTTTTTTAATTATTTAATTATGGGAAAGCATTCAATAAAACTATGAGTACTAATTCGATGCCTCCTGTTGTTGTTTTCAAATTCAATTGTTCAGTTGCACAGCACCATACAACCCCACACCATCATAATACCTCCTCCATGATTCACAGTCGATGTTATGTTTGAACATCTAATTCCCGATTCGGTTTCCTCCAAACAAATACGACTGTCAGATCCAAAAATATTAAACTTATTCTCATCTAAAAAGACAAAAATTTCCTATGGCTTATTGTCCATGCTCTCAAGCGAAGTTTTTCCTGTTTGTATTACATACAACGATTTTTCTTTGTGGCATGCATGCTTCTGTATCTCACTTCATGGATGTCATTATGGATAGTTTATGGCTTCACTTGTGTCCCAGAAGATGAAGCAATATCCTATCTTACACAGATTCTAAATTGAACTAAACAACTAATATAAATATTTTAATCTCATTCATTTGCCTTATGCTCAACAACACTATATTTTCCAAACAGAAGTGTTTATGTATAATAATATTTTAACATTCAAAATGTTATTTTTTGTATTTTAATGTAACACCTAATTATTTTTAAACAAATATTATCATAAAATATGTTTGAATTGTCTAATTACGGTTAAAAGGTTTTCATCACAAAAAAAAGTAAAAAAGAAAATTTCAAAAAACGAAGTACAAATAATTTTTTGACCCACTATTTATACTGAATCGGTATCCACTCATGGATTTTTAATCTATCAAACACGTTTCTCTATCCTTAGAAACATGTGTACCCAGACTTGCAGACCAACATCCACCATCAATTTTTTTTATATACTGACTTGCTGTCCATTGGTGGTGATGAATGAGTAGGTTGATGTCATGCACATGGAAGAGATTACATAGGGCTTCAATTATAAACAGAAAAAAAAATCACTATTACTTTTTATCTGGTTCTGTCAAGGTCTTGAGTAATTAAAAAAAAAAAAAAAAAAAAAAAAAATATATATATATATACTGAATCAGCATGCATATTGGCTGCCAGTATGGTAATGTATATTAAGCATTCAACATTGTAAAGATTATAATTTGAAACACCAATCTGATGAATATGGTAGAGTTTATGTATTTGAGCTCGAAGTGGGTAATTAATAAGGGCCAGAAGACTGGCCTGTCAAGTATGCAGCTATTTCACCCTTGAATAGGCTTCAATTCCAAAATGGTTAAGCCTAATTGACATTGCCCTAGAATGATTTGTAAGTTCACAAACTTCTGGGTTGGTAACTTTAGTGTTTTTTTGCCAGTATTTTAGCTTAAGCTGGAGGATATATGAAAATAGGGGTTCGATTTATGTTTCTAATGCTGACATATATAGTTAGGTGTAACAGAGAGCATAGTGAACTTTTTTTTAGGGAATACCTAGAAATTTTTCCAAAACATACAACTCAAACCCCCATAATTTTTCCAAAACATGCAACTGAAAGCCCCATACCTGAATTGCAGTGAAGTGGTGACTAAGGACTGATAATTAAGGACTTGTTGATGGGAGTCTTAGATATGCTTATCTAAACTTTTGTTTTAGAGTCCAAGGGGTCTTTTATAAGTTTGGCATATACACTATTAAGCACTTGTGGTGAAGTTAAGGTTAAAAGAGTTGGACTTTTTACGATCTTACAGCCTATTGGACAATACCATTATTTTCAAGAGCTCTTCGTTAAACTTAAGACTTTTTATAAGTTCCCAAAGCTTTTTAATGGCTTCTAAGAGTATCTGCTTTTTGTAAGTTCCCAAAGTTTTGTTAACGGCTTCCATGATTATCCTTCAAGCATTGGCTTTTCTCCCAGGAGTAGGAATCTCAGCCTGCATAGGCTTTCACACCAACAGTATTGTTTCTTCTTCTTCTTGGAAAGGAAATCTGCATAGGCTTGTTTCTGCTGCTCTGAGTTTGTGGCATATATGCCCCTGGAATCTGCTGGTTCGAGTCAGCGGTCCTACTGTTATTCTAGTCCAAAAACAATTTAGATTTAGTAGTTCTCCCATTAGTTTCTGCGATGGCCATTTGGTCTTGTAATTAACTTTATCACATGCATTTGTCCAGGAATACATTCCCATTCAACCGAGGACTTATATTTAACACTAAACATACCGAGCTTTAATATATACCTATTTGTACTGCAACTGGTCAATTTACCAGTTTTTAGATAAGGACTTTATTTTTCCTGATTGATGGAGAAATGTTGATTTTGGTAAAGAAATGTTGAACAAATTAACATTGAGGTAATAATTAAACAAAAAATTTTTTTCTATTACTCTAAAAAGCAAAAACTTAATGACAGGTAATTCATTGTGGATTGCATTTTTTACAAATGCAGGAAAGTACCAATGTACATTTTTCACATATTTCTTTCATTTAGAATAGATTTTAAGGTTTTAGTGACTTTATAATACATTATTTGATATTTTATGTTTACAAGAATCTGTCATAAAATTAATTGATGTTCTTTCTTCTTTGTTATTATTTGTTCTTCTTGGCTCTCTATAATCAATGGCAAGTTCTACTAGTTCTACTGCTAACTGGAGTAAAAAATCTTGTCTCGATATATTTTCTCCTGTTATTTCCTTACACAATATTCAGGCATTCATCTCCAAGACTTAATTTTGTACTACAGGCGATCGCCATTTGATCAGTCATGGCCACACCGAATTTTTTTTTTTTTTTTGTAATTTAAAGAATTCCCATTATAGTTTTAAAGTCTGATGTTTGACTTGAGCAGTTTTACTACTTGAATTAATTTATTATTCATATGTCTTCTTTATTTGTTGTCAATTCAGTAGAACATTTGTGGCATTAAAACACCTCAATCATTTCGGCTTTAATTTAAAATAAGTATATCACTAATGGATATGAATATACATAACAAAAGTTCAAACAATTATTAAATAAATTGTGAACTATCTGCCTGACTTGGTTTGGATGGTGAGAGAAATTGGAATTTTTTTCTTTCCAAAAGGTAGATTGGGCATGAGGCCAGGTCCCCAATCTACCTTTTGGAAAGAAAAATATTTAAACTGAGAAGACTGATCAATCACCAAAGAAGAAATTGAAATGATTTAAAATCTTATATGAAAACTTTTTTTAAAAGTTCAGTTGTGCAATGTGTGTACTTTTAGGACAGATCCAGCTTGTATTTTGTGATGAAAATACATCTGTCGTTCTCCCACTTGTGTTTTTCCTCTCTCGGAAAACGTGAGCAAGCACAAGACATTTGCAAACCTATTAAAATAGTTTGATGACACAACTTTTCAAGGAATTGTGTAATTTACATTTAACTTGATAAAGTTCTGTAAAGGAGTATCAAAATTATCTTGCTTAATATAATCCAGACACAAAGCGCTTTGATTGTATTATAAATTGTATATTACAATAATACAATTGAATCTTATCTTAAACTATAATAGGTGTAGAAAATGTTTGCCGGATACTCTTAGCTTGCAACATTCCTACAACATTGTTACACGATACAAAAGAAAAAGGAGAATCTGATTATGCGTTTTTTTTTTTTTTTTTTTAAAGAAAAATGAACAATGCCTAGGGGCTTCATTTTAAAAATTTGATATTTTCTTGATAATTTTTTTACAAAATCAATAATTATAATTGGGGACGTTTGTTTCCTGCCTTTACGATTCCTGTCACGAAAAAAAAAAAAAAAAAAAAAAAAATACAGCCCCAATTATGATAATCACAGGCAATTTTCATATGTTGACCTACACGGTTAACTTAATTTTTGTTAAAGTAAGTCGTTAAAGAAAATAATATTCAAACATTTTCTAAGAAGGTTCTCCCGTTCAATGTTAAACAAAATGACCAAGTTGAATGACCGTACTAATGCTAATTGTATAATTGCTTACAATTTCAATTCCTTCCTATCCTATTCGTGAAATCGGTGAGTTGTTTTAACATTTACATAAGTGCTCCATAATTAAAATTTATAATGTTGAAATGTATTTTGAAAAAAAAAAAAAAAAGAATTTTAAACTTTGAGTCAATAAAAGGCACTGTTATGTAATTTGGTTTATCGCTGCAACTATGAAAACTGTGTCATTGAGAAAACCAGGCCAACTAGTCGACAGAACTAGTTACTATTGAAAATAATAGCATACAAAAGATTTTTTTGAAAGGAAATCGTCACAACAGGATTACATTTAATGGTGTAAACACTTTAAACTTGTTATTTGTGGTTTAGAAGAAAACAAAATCATTTGAATACACACCAGGTAAAATGTATTAGGAGTGGAGACCACCTTTAAGTTCTGGAATGTCTGGAATGAAATGATTCATTACCATACCTGAATGTCCTTGTCCTATGTTGAGACAAATACCTATGATGAAATGTACAACAACCTTTTGGGGCTGGGATTGCAAAATAAAGAAGTGTAATTAAAAAAATAAAATAAACAACATGACGAAAGTGATTCAGTTGTTACACAATAATCATGTCAATCTTATTTATGTGGTTGAATAAAGCCAACTAGCACGTGCGCATGCACACACACACACACACAAGTTTTTATTATTTTGTGCAAAATCATAAACACTAAAAGTATTACATTCATGCAAACAAAAATATCCATGTTAAATAATTTGTAATAAAATTAGAAGTTATTGAAACTTTCAAATTAAAATTTGGGGGCTTGGTGAACTTGTTTTATTTATTCTATTGGGTTGTAAAATAAGCCACTAAAGTTTGTCAGTTATTCAGTTTTACCCTCTTGTGTTTTAAAGCAATGTTTATTTAGTCATTACTGTTTACTCTGAAAAGTGTTTTTATTTGTCAGTTTCATTTGAGATCTTGTATTAGTAGATTTTACTAATTTGAAATGAAGAGAAAAATAGAGCGTTTTAAGTACAGCTCAGACAGCTAGGAAAATTTGTGTTGATGCTTTAGGGGAATGCACTGTCTGTAAATGGTTTGCTAGGTTCAGAAGTGGAAATTTTGATTTAGGAGATGCAAAAATCTCTAATTGTTTTTGAATCATGATGATAACAAAATTCAAGCTTTTCTCACAAATAATGCACTCTCAGCAACACAAGACATCGCAGATACATTTGACATGTCTCATAGAAGAGTTTCAACGCTTATGTGATCAGCTGGATATGTTTGTTGAAGCGATGGGTTCCTCATTTGTTGACTGAGAAGAATTTATGGGACCACATCAGCATCTAAAAATTACCACCTAAACAACCCAATTTGAAAATGATTGATAACAGGGTGAAAAGTGGGACATTAACAAACAATTCACTAGTTTTTGTGGTCCGCTTGACCATTAATATCATTCAATTAATTAAGGTTTTTAGTTGAGATAAAAAAAGTCTGTGTCACGAACGGGATTCGAACCCACGACGTTCGGCTTGATACTCCGCTACTCTACCACTTGAGCTATCGTGAAAAATGGCAAAAAGGAGGGAAAATTCAAAAAGTAAAGGTTGAGATGGGAAGTTAGTGCCCGAGTGATCGGGGTCATGATAGCTCAAGTGGTAGAGTGTATCAAGCCGAACGTCGTGGGTTCAAATCCCGCTCGTGGCACTGACTTTTTTTATCTCAACTAAAAACCTTAATTAATTGAATGACATTAGCAACAATGTTCAGTGAGGAAAATCCTGCAACTAAACATTAACCCCAAAAGCAGGATTACATCCCAAGAAAGTAAAGTTCATCTGGTGGGTTTGGAAGGGAGGTGCTTTATTACGAGCTTCGCCTGCTATGATCTAATTGCAAGGGGGTTGTTTTCAACCACGATAACACTGGCCTTCAACGTGTCTTTGCAGACTCATCAGAAATTGTTGAAGCTTGGCTGGAATGTGATACCCCACCCACCGTATTCGCCTTACATTGCTTGTTCAGATTTTTACTTATTCTGGGCTCTGCGAAATTATATTAATGTAAAAAGCATTCATCACGTGATTTACTGGAGGTAATCTCTCAAAAACCTGAGAAGTTCTGGGAAGATGGAATTACAAAATTTCATGGAAAATGGTAAAAGGTGGTTGAACAAAACGGTTCATACATTGTTGGTTAAACTTGTTTACAAGCACTTGAAATTTTCATTAAATTTACCATTAGAAACACTACAGACTTATTTTACAACCCGATATAAGACCACATATACAGTTTAAACTAATTAAATATTAAGTTAACCAGACATTTTTTAAATAAAGTTTGGAATAAATTATTATTATGAAATTTTTATTAACAGTTAAATTTTATTTTGTAGGCAATGAGGATGTTGGAACACGTGGACAACTATATAAAAACGAACCCAGACGTGGTTATTATTGACCCATTTGACAATGTCAAGAAGCTTCTTGACAGGTACAGATCGTACAGGGTCATTCATGATAGCGACCTCCATAAAATTGGTAAAAAAATACAAATATAATTACAATATGTATCTGCTTTATTAATGGTCTGATGACATTTTGAAAAAGCGTTTTGAGGCTGTGACACAATAAGAATCCAGCTCAAGGATCTGATAAAACCAGAATTACAATCTAAACTATCTAGTCCATTTCCTCTCTGGTCTAATGCACAGATTCCGTTTTGACTTGTGGTCCAGTCAAGTATGAATCATAGAAAAAAAAAATCGGTATTTTAATTTATTCTTGCTACTTCTAGTTGTCCCTTCTAATGTAAATTCCATGTTGGATGGCATCGTTTTAATTTGACTTTCTAAACTTAAGTGCATCAACATTTTTAGTAATTTGATAACTTGATTTTTTTTTTTTTTTTTAAACAAAAAACAAGTGTATTAATTTGATATAAAAATGTCAAGTTAAATATTTGTTTTCTGATTGCACATTTTGATAAGGACTTATCTTTATGTTTCATTCAACTTTTTTTACTGAAGCAATTGTCATTGTACTATTGTCAATAGTCAAAATTAATTTTACTTTGTAGTATTAAAAATAAATAAAACTGTATGATAGAAGATTTTATTATTATTCCTAACAATTGATTTGTTTTAAAATAGTACCTAGGTTTAAAAAAGCTTTAATTTAAAAAAAAACCACTTGTTTTTCTTGTACAATTTTTTCATGAGGCATTTTATTGTTCTTAGATGTATTTACACCTGCTTTTGTGGAATTGATATCGTACGATGTCTCTGAAAACTTGAAAACTTTAAAAGAGGCAGGGATTACTTTCCCATTTGGTAATATTGAATTAAATCCATCCAAATTTGTGTTAGTATTTGCGAACAATTGTTCTTTTTTACAGTGTGTAAACCGTCTGTCGCAAACGGCACCGATGGACATAAGGTAATGTTGAAAATTTGTTTAAACCTTGTTAATGGGAAAATTAATATAAAAAATTGACAAATCTTTTAATCCTGTTGATTTAAAACTTGAATTTTATAGATGGCAATTGTTTTTAATGAAAATGGAGTCAAGGATTGCCAGCCTCCTTGTGTTGCTCATTCTTTTGTTAACCACAATGCAATTCTTTTCAAGCTGTTCATTGTAGGCGATGAATACCACATAGTTGAAAGACCTTCCCTTAAGAATTTCTACCCAGACCCTGGTGTGTTCTTATTTTGAATTTATTATTGATTTTTATTTATTTATTTATTTTTTAAATGTACTAATGTTTTGTTTGTGTTTTAGACAGGAAAACAATACATTTTGATAGTCACAAAGTTTCAAAGTCAGATTCCAGCTCATCTCTGAGTGTACTTGATGAAGAAGAAAACGAAATGAGCCGTCAAGGTGCCGATCCTCATAAGTTGAAACAGATAGTTTCAATAATCAAGGAAGAGCTTAATATGAGTTTACTTGGTATAGATGTTGTTGTTGAAAAAAATACTGGGAGGCATGCTGTGATTGATATTAATCCTTATCCAGGTAAAATGTCCAACAATTCACTTTACAAAACTGATTTTAATTTTTTTAAATATCTATTATTTAATTTAGGATATGAAGGTTACCCAGATTTCTTTGATAGTCTCATGAGGTGTATCAAAAGAAGCATAGAGTTGAAAACATTGTCTCCAAATCTTTTCCCAGAACAGGATGATTCGGGGTTTGACACTGCTGATTCATCGGATGAAAAGAAGAGGCGTACTTCTCCACCTTTAATAGCTACAAAAACTGTAGAACGACATCTGTAGCTAAAGCTTATTGACCTCTTCACAAGGATTTTAGTTGAGATAAAAAAGTCAGTGTCACGAGCGGGATGCGAACTTACGACGTTCGGCTTGATACTCCGCTACTCTACCACTTGAGCTTTCGTGAAAAATGGCAAAAAGGAGGGAAAATTCAATTTTTCTCGGTTTTTATAAATTTCATACTATTTTAGATTTACTACAGTCCTTAAAATATTTTTAAAGGAACAATTTTTTAAGAATTTTTGTTTTATTAGTTATGTAAGTGCCAAGATGATTTTTGTTTTTTATTTGTATGAATTTTCACAGGCCTCGTAAATTTTTCTGTGTACAAATAAATTGCTTCCAAAAGAGATGAATGACTTGAAAGGTGTGCTTTAAAAATTTGTCAAAATATTTTAATAAACGGTAATAAGAGTGCTTGGTAAAATTGTTCATTATAAAAAATCAACATAAAAAATCTTTAAGTAAAAGAAAATATGTGATACTCGTACATTATAAGTCCCCTGTCTATATTTTTTTTTCATATATCAGCGTATATTTATGATTATATACATTTGTATTGTTTATGTTGAAATCAGCACTTTGAAACAAATGTATTTAAGACAATACATAAAAGAATTATCCTATTTCATGTTTGTATCATTTCTCTAATGACTAAATGTGCCTAAAATAATAGATTTGAGAAGATTGTAGGACAAATTAGTTTTAGAAAAGGTCAAACACCATAGATTAAATTTGTATTAAGGAGGTTCTTTTATATTAGGGTACACATACAAATGCATTTATTTTTTTCTAGAGCTGCATTGACTGATCCATTGGACCATTTGTAACATTTTTCTCCTTCATATTTATTACTTATTTGTTGTTTATTTTGTTTTTTTACTCAAAAATTCCGTCCAAGGGAAAAAATTAATCGAGGCGGTCAATAATTGTACATAAATATATGTATTTATTTTCATTTTTGTTATGTTTGATGTCTATTTTTTTTTGTTCATAGTTTTTGTAAATTATGTTTTCTTATTACATAGAATTAAATTGTATGTGAGTTTGCTATAAAGTTTTTTAAAACAAACACCACAAACCTTACAGTGTTATCATGTTGGTTACAGCAAGCCATATAAAGTGGAATTTTTATTGTTATATATATATATATATATAATAACATTGTATTCTAGTAATATTTTAAAGAAATTATCCTTTTGAAATGAAAACCTGCCATTTTGACAAAAAACAACCACTATTTTAGTTTTATCAAACACATTTCAAACGCTGCTATCAGTAAAGACATAATAGAAAAATATAAATTATGAATGATGGCGTGAGTGTGGAATGTGGAGTTCAATCCTTTTTAAAAATTAATTAAGGTTATTAGTTGAGATAAAAAATCAATGGCACGAGCGGGATTGAAATTTAAAAAGATGGTTCCTACACACATTAAGTTGTTTCGCAACAATCCCGATTTTGAGCCCTTTAGTTCTCAATTAATTTTTTACAGTATTTACTATTATAATAGTTATTTGTGTTATAATTCCCGCTTTTTGCACATTCAAATTGAGCGCCATTAAAAAAATCAGCTACTAATTCGAACGTTGTGTTGGTGGAGGTATCAGCGGCTTCACTTTTGCAATTCATGTTGCGAGACGTGGTTGTAGAAATCCTTCAACCTGGTGAGCTAAAGGGCTCGAAATCCGGATTGTTGCAAAACAACTTAATGTGAGTAGAAACCATCTTTTTAAAAATGATAATAGAAAAACCCTCAACCAAAACCCTTAGATAAAAAGAATAATTAATATGGACAATTCTGACTGCTAAACTGGATTATTATTATTATATTCACCGAAATATGACATAAAATATTGTGGTGCTTCTAAGTCACTATTGGTGTGATTTGATTTTTTTGTATAATGTGGTCTTTAAAATAAAATCATTCATAGTTATGCATATATAAACACAGAATTGAGCTTATGATTTCTCATGGTTGCCATCAAATGATAGCCTAACCTAACCATACCTCAACAGTCTTATCCATCCTGCTGCTATATTAGGCTCTAGGTGCCTGGGGGGGGGGAGGCTCATCATCTCAGCCCCATGCATTCAGTTGTTAAGCTTATCTCATTCTTAAATACATTCTTTCATATTTACATACCATTCACTCACGTAGTATGGTAGATGAGGTGAGTTGCGGTCTTGTGTGACGTAGGTTTAGAAAACATTTTATCGTGTTGTTCTTTATTGAGATCATCTTCAGGGCCTGGTATTTATAAACATCGTTTAAATTATATAAGTACATGCAAGATGTGAAAAATGAATTTATACAATGATAGAAATTTTAGACTCAATTTTTTACATCATACATATATTTGTATAATTTAAACAATGTTTATAAATCCCAGGCCCAGAAGATGATCTCAATAAAGATTAAAACATTGGCATGATAAAGAAAATGTTTTTCTAAACCTACGCCAAACCAGACCGCAACTCATGATCTACAAATAATCATTAATTAATGGTCTTAAACACCACACACTTCTTTAAAATTTTCTTCTAACCTTGTTATTTCTTGTGCCCATAAAAATGGGCCATATGAAGATAAATCTTTTAATAGATGAAAATTACTTCAGTATATTTAATGCATACTTGTATGTCCAAAGAGTTTCCAAGAGGCACAGTAGCAGCAGAAAGGCTTTCGGTACGGCTCAATCGAAAGAAAACAAAATAAAACCTGACCTAAGAGATCAAAATAAACTAGATGCCTACAAAAATGTCCGATACAATGAAATTAAAAGAAATGTTCGACAGGCCTTTCCAAATAAAAATAACAAGAGAGGTTTGGAAGAATAAATACCTTGGTACTACGCGAATGTATACATACAGTTCTAAAATGGGATCAACAAGTGGGGCAGAATCGAAGGCCAACATTTTGACCGGTCTATGTCACACCAGTTTCAAATCGATATCCTTGCAATAGAACTGTGTGCAAAAAATACTTAAAAAGAGATGAAAATATGCAGATATATTCTCAGACAGCCGAGCAGCACTGAATACTTTAAACTCCTCTACTTTGAACTCAAAGCTAGTCTGGGAATGCAGGACGTATCGCCACCTCTTGGGAATATGCAGTCAGGTAACCGTGAGGTGGTTAGCAAGAACAAAACGGGACTGGAGGGAATGGATAAGTTAATAAACAAGCAAAAACAGGATCTGTCCTCACCTTAATCATAAAATTATCATGCCAAAGTGTAACTGGATGGAGAAAAAAAAACTAGCTAAATTCACCAGGTACTAAATAATCAAGTTCCTTCATTATTCATCAAGAATAATTCATAGTTGAATTGATCTGATTCTCTAGGAAATCAAGCATAGAATGCAAGAATGCTTTGGTTATCTAAATTTTCTACAAAAATCTAGAATTTTTTGAATTTTCCAGAGTTAGGTGAGTGTAGTCTCTCCTTTTCTAACACTGTGTCCTAATATATCTATTGTGTAATTGACCCTGTCTCATTTACATACCTCCTTATCGCTAATTTTACTCGATGCTAGTGTCACTTTTACGAAGTGGCTATTCTGTTTTTGCTTCCAACATAGAACATAATTTGATGTCTCTGCTGTTTCAAGAGAGTTGACATTTTTCTGTCTTAGTTTATCACATTTTTTTGGCATATTATTTTCTTTAATTCTTGCCTGCTGAGGGAAAGATTATCATTGGTTTGGTTGAGGAATTCAATTATTTGCACCAGAAGAAGTTGTCCAGTGGGTACTCATTCCCTCTGTTGTACACAACCACAACAAAATCTTAATTAACGTAATAAGTCAGCCACAACTCTAAATCTGGGATGAGCCTATTGACAAAGGGACTTACTACAAATGATGCTCGCCATGATCAGCTTTTCGGTTTCTCGTTCGTTGACCTGATCCGATGAATCACAACGGCAGGTCTTCGATGGTGCTGGTTGACTCAGTCCCCTTGGTGTGAGTGGCTGCTTCTCTTCTGGATCTACTTCTGGGGTGGACAGTATACTGGTTCGAGCCTTTGATCTAGACTCAAACTTGAGCCCTTGATCTAAACTCATTGGAATGAGCCTTTGGACGAGACTCACAGGTTTAAGCTCTTGGTCTAGACTCACTGGTTAGAGCCTTTGAATGAGACTTATAGGTTTGAGCTCTTGGTCTAGACTCACTGGTTTGAGCCTTTGGACAAGACTCTCAGGTTCGAGCCTTTTGACGATACTGAATGGGTTGAGCGCTCTGACTGACTATTTCCAAATCATCCTTTTTTGGACCAGTTTCTCTACTGGAGTAGGTGTGGAAAGTAAAATCCAAAGTCAGGAGAGTTCCCAAGCCGCGGGTGGACTGGTGATGACACGTCGCACCTGGCTAAAGCAATATCCGATTTACGATGTCCCACATCGCTGCACATTTTTGGCCACATGACAACCCTTCAGCATTTAACATGTGGATATTAGTTATTTATTTGATAGGTGTCCAACTATTGCATCTTAATGTTTTCCAGGTTCGTGGGGAAACATAATGTGGCTCCCATCTGGGTCCGCGACACCCTTGAACTTTCTTTTACTTTTCAACTTCTTCTGACCAACTGGGTAATTATTGCTGGGCTAGGTTTCCCTGGTTAATAGCTAACGTAACCTTATTGAGCATCAGACTCGCATAGCTGATTGGCCTCAGAATGTCATTCTCGTCAACCCCCACATTGGAGCCGTCAGTGTAGAGGACTTATCTTGCCTGAGTTTTGTCAGCGGCTCCTTAGTGTAGGATCTTGCTTGCGGTTTTTATTGTTCTAGTTGCAAGAATTTGCACCTACATAGTCTTTCATAGAAACATAAAATTTGTTCTGCGGTCTCCTACTCTTCCTGAAGTATCTACCAGTGTTTCTTCTGTCTATACTCCTATCCAGTGCATGTGCTTTCTTAAGTGGCAGTGTCGGTTAATTACGGTTCAGTTGCGGCGCCTTCCAGTAATTCTTTTGTAAGTTTTGCGGAGGATCCTTCTATAAATCTCTTCACGTACCTCATACCTGTGGTATGGTCCTATAGATGACTCCCTTCTCTAAGAGTTTCTGGAATTCACCTCGTAGAGCCGCAAGCTAAGGTAGGGAGCAATCCATACGGCGGCAGCATGATGTTGGTTCCTTCTTTTTACCTGCACACCATATTCTACTAGGTCGGTGAAACCCAGCTTATCTGTCAACACCTCAGGGAAGCGTTCGACCCAGGCTCTGTATGCCGGGAGTTTTGGCAAAACTGTAGGCCTACAGACTTCATAAAATCTAACCCGATCAGGGCCGGAAACAAGAGGCTCCGCATATTTTCAAACATAATCTCCACATGAACTTGGCGATCCTCAATCGGAGTCGGATCGGGTCGAGGCCTTGGTCTGACTCAGCATTCCCAACCATAACGGAACCATGGAACACGAGGTGCCTGCTCTTCCAAGCTTCCTCTGGATCATAAAATCCTTGAATTTCTTAGAGACACAGCTAATCGATGCCCCTGTGTCTATATATACGTGGAATTTGTTTTCGTATCTATTTCACTCCGGGGTGCGTGTGTCTGCGATCTTACTTTCCTGGGCATCTAGCGGGCAAAGGCCTGGCTGACCCCCATGCGGCCCGTTTTTGGGTCCCTGAGTGGAATGGAGCCGACCTGAGACTTTTACGCCTAAGCCATTTCAGCGACCCACACCCCAGTCTTTAAAAACTGGAGATAAATACTCACAATTATACAGTTTAACTTTTTGGGAGCTGCATGATGGATTTAATATCTCCATATTTTATTTCCAAGCAAACATGGTCGGCCTACAATAACCAATCTTCGTAATTTCCAGATTTTGTACTTGATAAATCCAATTTTGGTCCCTGATATATGTGTACTGGTTTTAGTAAAACTTTCTCCATCTCATTGCTAAATTATAAGCCCTTGGTATTTCTGAATAAATTGGCTTATTGTTATTATTCTCATGTAAGTAGTTCATTTTTTTATATTTACATTTGTAATAATTGTTATGTTAGTAAGAACGTTTGTATTATTAAACAGGGAAAATCACAAAATATATATTTTTTTGATCAGTCAATAAAATAATTCCTGTCATACAGGATTGCTTACTACTCTATCCATTGGGTGTCATGGATGAGGGAAAAAAACAAATTTACAATATATTTTTCTTATTATAATCAATAGAAAAGCCATGGGTTCTGCCCAGATTCGAAACCAGAACTGCTATAGCATGGCAAATCACCGTAACCACTCGTTGTCCACTGACCTACCTATAAATTAATGGCGTCGTGAACTTGTTTTTTATCATTAGATAAACAGTAAATATTTGGGTTTAATAATAATAAAAAAAATTCTTCAGATGCCATTGTTTGATAACATTTATTGATACATGGGTATAATGATTTCTTTTTTCCTGTAAAGTTTTTATTTAAATTCACAACTCCTTTCACAGAATGTGTTTTGTGTTTTGCTGTGAAAGGCATGTATGAGGTACCTAAGAAGGCAACCTATTCACCTACTTAAATTTTCATCGTAATTACTGAATTGTGTATGTAGATTTATTCAATACTTTTGTTGAACGTATTGACATAACTATACATACATATAACATTAGCACAATAATTATTAACAATGGAACATTTATCACAAAAAAAGTTCACACTGATAATTAGTACATTGAATTTTATACAAAATACTCATCCAAAGCCTCTAATCGGGTTTCAGATTTATCTATATTTATTAATTCTTCATACATGTATATTGGTTGTTCTCAATTTGTATAAATTATATATTTCGAACACACCTTTCTGGTCATACTTAATACAATATAACATCAACTTTGGTTGAATTGACAACTAACCGCAGGCACACATATTTGTATAAACACTGGATATATTTTGGATAGTGGCTTTTTCTGCGCTTTATTTATTTTATACTTTTATTCTGGTATATACAAATTTTTGGTCCAAAAAATATCAATCTACGTACACATTATTTATCTGGAAGATAACATCAGTGGGAATTCTACAAGCAAAACCTTGTCAGAGGATAAAAAATAATAAAAAGGAAAAAAATATATGAACACTTTTTTTTATTTCATAAAAATCACTTTTAGTCAAATGACTTCTTTAAATATTATTATATATAAATACATAAAAATTCCATTTTCTAATTTTTTGCAATAAATTTTAAGTGTGCTGTCTGACACAGTTTGACTACAAAACAATATGTCCTTAATTACATTTTATGACAAAGAAAAAAAAAAGAAGAATATTCCTACAAAAATTATAAGTTCTCAATTGAATGAAATTAATAAGTGAAAGTAATTCTTGATTCTTACAAATTCACAAATTCTTTAGCTGCCTTCTCCAAAAAAGTTAATATTCAATAAAATAAAACTGTTTTAACATATATGAACAAACAAACATCAAATATGGAGAAAAAATGAAATTATAGTTTTACGATTCATGTTGTTCTTCTATGCATCAACCGTAGTGTTAACTAACTACTTCAGTAACTGTAAATACACTTCTTTTAAGAGAGAAAATTTGTTAAACTCAAAAGTATACCTTCATAACCAATTTAATATAACACAATATTTTTTTCTTTAATAAGGTAAATAAATAAACAATCCTTAAACATATAATGTAACAAAAATTACAACAATTAAAAGACAAAATGGATAAACAAGATTCTTTTACACGCACCCTTTCACACACTCACACACACAGAGCAACAAATAAAATGGATAATCTTCTGTAAAATTGATTTTCATTCAAAAATTCGTTTTTCATTTAATGATTTAAAAAGTTTAAACTTAACTTAAAACAAAAATTCTTAAAAAGGCTTTTTTTTAACAAAAAGAGGAAAAGACTAAGTAAAAAGGGAACTTAAATTAATTTTTTGCCTACAGGTTTGGCATTTTGGTATTTTATATAAGAAAATAAAAATGAAATAAGAAAGGAAAATTGAATAAAAAACATTACTTGGTCAACAAGCGAAGTTCATAAGCAAACATAAACTACATCTATCGTTAATAATGTTTATAACTTTTTTATTTCTTTTAACACCGTTATAATATATAATATATATATTTCTTATCTTTTTCTTCTTTTTAGGAATGTAACCCAATTTTACAAATTTTCATGTTATCGGAGTAACAGTGAAAAATATTCTTTTTATAGATAAACAAAATCACTATACACAACTCTTGAGATGTAGACTAAATGACACACAGCCTTGTGCCACAATTGATCATCATATTTTATATGATAAACGGGTTTGCTTCTTGTATATACCACCGTACGGTGGTTTCGGTTTATGTTATGGGTTTTTTAACAGCCTTTTTTGACGGAAATCATATACTCGCCGGCAAAAGAATAGAATATCCTTTGAAACTTGGCCTTTGGGAAGCCTGTTCATTCTTGGATAATCTCCTACCATATCAGGGACGACGTTTCGTAAATTGTGTGATACCCCTGCTTCGAGCATTTTCATATTACTTTTATAGCTGTAAACAAAATAAAAATCTTTTAATAGCCAAAGAAAATTTTATACATATTGTTAATGTGACTCGTAACTTACCGACAGTACTCGTTAAATGTTAGTACGTAACATTTGTCTTCTATACAAGCTACACTGTTGGTGTCTTTATGCCTAGATGCAAAAATTTCATCCTCAGGGTGGTTTGGAAGTCTACCTTGTTCTGTGTGTTCTGGCCGGTAATACCACAATAGAGAAACGACCATTTCACCTTAATTAATATAACAATTGGTATCAAAACCGAGGTTAAAAAAAAAGAAGAAAAATAAAAGAAAAAAGCTTAAATCATGTATTTAATTTACCATCATCAGGGTTTTCCCACATAGCAGTTACTTTAGCGACAAAAGGCAACTGTTGTTTTCTTGGACCTGATTTCAGAAGGATGCAGTCTCTAGGGCAAATGACATCACCTTCAATGTGCCTCATAGCAGGGTAACACGTCCTTGACACAGGCTCGTCACTCTGTAAATGAATAAATTAGTAAAATAAAACAACAATAATAAGCACATTAGGGAAAAATTATTACAGTTAGGAAGACTTTGGCTTTGAAAGGTTCTCCTTCCCATGACCATCCATTTGACCACTTCAGCGTAGGCTGTCCTCGGATTAATGGATATTCAGTGCTCACTTCTTTTTTTACTGCTAAACAGGTCTTTTTATTTGCTTTCTTCTTATCAGATTTGCAATCTGTAAAATATAATTAAATACTTATACTAGATCTGTACAGTGAAAGGACTGTTTATTTTAAAGCATATATAAGACTCACGTTTTATTTTTGTTGGTTGAGTTTCCTTTTTTGCTAGCTGTTTTATCCCAGTATCTGGCTTTTGCGCTATACTAATTTTTGGAGAAACTTTCTTTTTACACTTTTTTTCCACCTTGTTTGGAATTGAGTTGTTCTTTTTGTCTGTAAGCACTTTTTTTTCTACACTTGGTTTGCGTTCAGGCTTTTTTGTAAGTTGAGGTTTTTCTGTTTGTTTTTTTTCTTGAATTTTTTCCTGTGAAGGAATCTTTTCTTCCACCAGCTTTTCTTGATGTTGAACTTTCGGCTCTACATTAGGTTTTGAATCTAAATGTGTTTTTATTTCATTAGGTTTTTCAAGAATTGGTGTTTTCTTTTCGACGGCGGGTTTTTCTTGGGGAATGGTTTTCTTTTCGGATTTGCATTCTTGGACAAGTTTCAAATCAAGAAGTGGTGGATCTAAAATAGGAGGTTTAACATCTTCAATAATGCTATCTGTTACTCTCATATTATCATTTACAATTGGTATTTCTTCTTTACATTTTATTGTATTGAGTGGCCTCTTTATTTGTGGCATTAATTCATGTATTAAGACAGGTGAGGCAGCTCTTCGTTTTTTCATCATCGGTTGTTCTAAAACTTGAGCCATAGGCATCATAGGGTCCATTACAATTTCATGTTCAATAGAAGCTTTTCGTTTCATTGGCCTCATCCTTCTTTGGAGGAAGTTTTCTGTTACAGGAATATCTACAATTGTTTGTTCCGGAGGTGGAGTGGGTAGTTCTTTTGGTGTAATATCCTCTTCTTTTATAGGAACAGGGTGGCCAGAAGGCGGCGACCACGATGGTGGGTTTCTTGCAGTAGAAGATAATGCAGGTGAAGCTGGAGGTGGCATGCCTGCACTGCCTCGAGCAGGACTCGGTGGACCTAGATTTGCACCACTTGGCTCTAGAGGAAGCGCGAGTGCAACAGGTGGCAGAGGGGCAGGAATAGCTTCTTGGGAGTTCAACTGCTGTTGGTCTAAGCAGATTACATTGTTCTGTTGGTTTCCCTGACCTCCTTGCTGTGTTTGTGCCTGAATGTTTTGGCTAGACCCCTTACTGGCACCAGTAAGAGGCCCAGTATGGACGTTTTTTGGACACGATTGCATTGGACAAGGACATTGAAAAGCTGGATCTAAATTAAAAATGAATTCATTAAAGTATTTTTTAAATAATAAATAAGTAAATAATATGCAACATACCTATAAATGGTATACCTCTAGTCGGCGGATGATTATAACAGGATGGAGGTGGAGGAGGTGGTCCAGCTGAGTAAGTGTAAACTCCATAACTACTATGATGAGGTGGAGGTGGTGGTGGGTGAGGGGGAAAAGGATCTACAAGAGGTCCCCCTTGATTTAAGGGATATGAATCCGAAGCCACCATCTGTGAACTGGGTGGACCTGGCGGCGCGCCCCAATATCGCCTGTAATTAGCGTACTTATGGTAATACGCTGCACTGTAACAATCTTGATAAGGAGCTGGGGGTATATATTGGTAGGAATACGGTGGTGGTGGGTAGGCTCCAGGGAATCCAGGAGGAGCTCTGTACTCTTGAGGTTCTGCTGTAGTTTCAGAAGGTCTACTTTGAGGTTCGATCCCAGGGCTTCCTTTGCTCGAGCTGACACCACTCACAGCAGGAATTGATGCTGAGGTACTCGCTGTTGAATGGTGATGATGATGCGAGATCAAAGGTCCCGCAGGCTGGTAATAGCCTGAAAAATCACAAAAATTCAATATTAGTTTGACTACTATGAAACAATCATTTTAAACTCAACTAAGTATTAAAGTTCCTGCATCCAAACTAAGTGTTAAAAAGTGGAGTATACTTAACGAAACCAAATCAAAACCTCACACTTTGTCTGTCACCTCTACTCTAATACAACTCTATTCCGCTTAGAAACCAACAGCTTGGTAAGCTTCCTCTCCAAAGGACTTACTTGCAACCTCCACACTCAACTCAAAAGAATAGACCTGACAAGACAGATATAAACTACTCCAAACATACAAGGTATCAAAATTCGAAATGAAAAATAAACATCTCATCTGATCATTACTACAACTAATCTGAATAGACAGAACTGTGAGATTCAAACAAGCCTTCCAACCTCCAAAATGAATAGTGTTGAGTTAAGAGTGTAATTAATGAATTTCTCCTCTCTGGTGTGGTGATTAGTGAGTGACGTTAGTCGATGATTATTCGGAAATCGTGAGATGCGGTCTGGTGTGATGTAAGTTTCAGAAAAGCATTTTCTTTATCGTGCCAACGTTTCGATCTTTATTGAGATCATCTTCAAGGCTCAAAGTGTTTGTTTTCTGTGTAATTGTGCCATTCTTGCGTGTCGTGTTGTTGGGCACTCTCAACACGACACGCAAGAATGGCACAATTACGCAGAAAACAAACACTTTGAGCCCTGAAGGTGATCTCAATAAAGATCGAAACGAAGCACATTAAGGAAAATGTTTTTCTGAAACCTACATCACACCAGACCGCATCTCACGATTTCCGAATTCCTAACAACGTTGCTTGTAGTGCTCTAGGCGCTATTGGGACATAGCAATTACAACAGTTTTTCTTCAGTTCATGTAATTGTTTTTGCTTTGAAAAACCAGACATACAAATTGCAAAAAGGACTTTGTGTTTTGTTAAAAAAATAAATATATAAATGTACGTATGTGTGCAAATGTGATAAAAGTAATAAAAGTGTGTCATAATTGTAAGTATAATAAAAAAAAATGCAAAAGAGCTCCCACCCTTAAAGGGTTAAGGTGTAAACTGGTTGCAATAAACCCCGAACACCTAATAAACGTTTAAATTAATTTTATTTTCGCCCGGACAATGATGCCCCTTTTTAAAAATTTATATGTAAGGGCGAGTGAGCGAGGGCAACAAATAATAACATCATTTCCATTCAAAGGATGCTGTCCTCCGTTCTGAATGTTAGCCCAAAAAGATAAAGAGATTCCCCGGTAGAAATAAACTCGAGAGGCCGGAAATATGGAAATACGCTTACGGGGGATTTTTTCTTCTTATTCCCTTTTCAATTTCTTCCAGGCATTTCACATAGGGTGTTCACAAGGCGGCGTTTTGTTACCAATTTGTATATCGGAAAATGAATGATGTTCTCTTGTTAACATTTTTTATACTCAAAGCCCGTTTTTATTTTGATTTGTTTTCAATTGTAGTGGCTTTATCGTGGAATTGATCTTACTTAAACTTAATTCTTGTTCCAAAGCTACTGAGTTTACAATCCTTCTATAGTTCTTTAGTTATGTTTGTAAATATATTTTTATTTAAAAATTTAAAACCATAGTCGTTCATGAAGAAACAAATTAACTTTTGGTTTGATATTCTTTTTTTATTCAATCTTTAAATTTAGTGCCTAAAGAGAAGCTTAATAACAAATTAAAGTTGATAGTTGGAGAAGGTCTGCGTGTCGGTGTGCAAAGCTGAAAAGTTACATCAAAACCCGCGACGTACCCAAGTGACCTACAAACAAATTGCTCTTAATAAATTAATGCAATCAATAAACCCCAAGGTTGACTTGTTAATTCAATAATTAATGTTAAAACATTCCCAGACGAGGTACTTCGACTGTAATCACCAATTAACAACCGATTTTATTTTAGGTTAATTAATTTAACGGCCATCAAAGTATACAAAGTTTCATGGTAGTTAAAAGAGATAATTGTCGGCTCGTTGAGGTCGAAGGTGTTTGGTAGAATATTTCAAGCTAGATGATTATAAACGTTTCATTTATCAGATGATGTAATTTGATCGTTACCGACCATTTTGGTCTGCCCATCCATTTTCTGTGCGTCTGTGTGATCCTGTTGGGTCAAGTATCTCTGTTAAGAAGACTTCTTGCATTACTTTTTATTTTTAATTGGAATTGTGTTTTCAATGGTATATTAGATGTGATTGTTGTTAATTTGTGTGTTTATGAGCTTTTTTAGTGTCAAATGTGTTATGTGTATAATTTTCAAGCGTTCGAATATGTTCATTTTTCAACCGTTCTATACGTCGTGTAGCAGTATCGCGCTTGTCTGTAATGTTGGGATTCATGATGGTTGGTGCGGTGAGTCGCACTGTGTGATTTTTCGTCATTGTCTCTAAACGATCTTACATGTTCTTAGTAGCTGTCTTTTATTTTTCCTCCTAGATGGATTTGTCTCTGCATTTGTATGTATTGCATGTTTTTGTAAAGTGGTTTTACCTTACAAGTTTCCGAACGTGTTCGTTGACTTAAGTGCTGTTTTAATTAATTCATAATTTGTTAGACAGATTTGTTAGTTTGTACAACTTTCACTATGTAGTGAACGCGGTCTAATTTGGTTTATTAATTTGCAGTTTGCGTTCGAGTTGTATGCGTTACGTGCAATGGTTTTTATTTAGAAAATGGCAGATATTTTATTGGTGTAATAATGGTAATTAATTTTTTAATCAGACAGATATAACGAGCTTTACAGTTTTCTTTTTTTACGTTCCCATTATGAATATAGTTTCATTTAGTTTATTTATGGAATACATATTTAGCCCACTAAACCATTAACTCCATCAGAGGTCAAATCTTTCAATATTCACGTCCCAGCAAAAAAATCGCCCAGTTTTGACTTTATCAGCACACACATCTTTCTAAAAAAAACTATAATTTTCCTTACCAACATTTCTAACTGTCCTTAGAACCTTTTCCTTCCCAATCCAATGGAAATTTTCATTAAACCTATTCCCAAAAACCTCGGCATCTCCCTGTCAGTTTGCTTACATTACTTAGCAAAAACTAGAAAAACTTCATAAACTACCCTTAAAAGGTCCAATGTAATTCAATTATTTAAGGTTTTTTAGTTGAGATAAAAAAAAGTCAGTGTCACGAGCGGGATTCGAACCCACGATCTTTGGCTAAATACGCCCCTACTCTACTACTTGAGCTATCGTGACTTTGATCCACTCGGACACTAACTTCCCACCTCAACCTCACCTTTTTGAATTTTCCCTTCTTTTCGCCATTTTTCAAATGTCGTGTAATCTATTTGATTCTCGGCGACAAATGAAATGGCCACGGAGAGCTTTAGTGAAGATATATTTCATTTAACTTATTAAATTCACTAGTTTTCGTGGTCCGTTTGACCAATTAATATCTTTCAATTAATTAAGGTTTTTTAGTTGAGATAAAAAAAATCACGATAGCTCAAGTGGTAGAGCAGCGGCGTATCTAGCCGAATATCGTGGGTTCGAATCCCGCTCGTGACACTGACTTTTTTATCTCAACTAAAAAACCTTAATTAATTGAAAGATATTAATTGGTCAAGCGAGCCACGAAAACTAGTGAATTTAATGAGTCCAATGTAATTCCACTCTGGTTCAGGCGACTTCACTCTACCATCCAACATTACCAAAGGGGAGTAAACATCATCGCAACCCTTGAACGGAAGTGGTTCGGGTGCTTTTCCAAATATGAGGGAGGCCTTCGATCGAGTGTGCCATCCGGGCAGACCGGGCTTGTTCTGGAAACTCAAGGGCATCCTTCTTCTATTCGCTTATAGCCTCATCCTAAAATCCTATTGGACTGATAAGTACTTCAAGTACGTATCAGTACATCCCTCTCCTCCATACACTAAGCGAAGCGAGTATATATCAAGTACTGGTAAGCAGACAATACCCACTGTCAGACCCGTTAGTAGCCTTCAGAAACCTCCAGGACTATCTCTTCTGTTTGGAAGAATGGATCACAACATGGAGGATCGGTCAACGAAATTAAATCCTCTTCGCCCATCACCTCTCCTACAATCTACTACAACTCTGTTCCTTTCCCAGAAACCAATGCCGTCCACTATATTGGAAGCCTCATCGCCAAAAGTCTAGTTTGTAACCCCCACAATCGACTCAAAATAATAGAACTGATAAGACAATATAACAGATGATATAAACTGTCTCGCCTACGTATCATTACTACAACTAATCTGGACGTACTAAACTGTGGGTTCAACCGAGCGTTCCGACATGCAATGAATCCAGTCACTTCAGTCCAAAAATCTTTCAAACCATTGCTCAGCCCTTGTCGTATTAAAAATGCCCTACTCCCATCGAATTTTGGCTACGAATAAATAACAACGCTGGTCATCCGTTAGTACAAAAAGGGCAAATTATGCCCAATGCTTCCCATGACCAGTGAAGTCCATGGAGGTCTTGAAGCTGTTTCCATTTATTGTATCAACTTTTTGAACCATTTCTTCTTTCGTAGGAAACGTAATTGACTTCCTGATATATGTGGTTTGACAATTTATTATTGTTGTAGCTTTTTCGTTGTGCGCGACAAACTTTTATACATGACAATTCTATCTTTCCATCTACATTTGCTATTTCCGTCCCCTTACCTATTCAGCAATGCAAGTGATTCATATGGTCCTTAATGATCGACAGGGTCACTTCACTGACTGCGACTTATACCGATTTCCTTCACGTTAGAGCTTTTAAGATCGCTAACATTTCTGCCCAGTTATTACTACACCAAGACGACAGTTGGTACATTTCCTGATGTCATTCTTTGAAGGCGCAGCCGATTCCTCCATGCATCTGTGTATATCCCATAATTTGGCCAATTCTTAGTACTGGTTTTTAAATGTCCTCAGGCATGATTGCGTAATCTTCCATAAAGGTAGAAAGACTTGAAAAATTTGTCGATAAACATAATGAATATCTAAGAGGGGGCAATGCAATTGCCTTGAAAGTCGTCTGGATCAATAAAAACGGGCG